AGCTTAATTTATGCAACACCTTTGTTGGTTAAGACAAATGAAAATGGGTGAAAAATAAAAATTTTATTGATCTTACGTCTTTGACTAGTTTTCCTCTATGTTTGTTTTCTTCTCTTTATGTAATGGACTACAAATTTATAAATATATTACATGATGGGAAAATTCTATGAACATCTATGAAATGGATTACACAAGGATGACATCAATTTACAATCTAAATTATTTCAATATATTTCAGATGAGAAATCATATTATATGTTATTTCTTATAGTTTCGTAATTGTCGTTTCATATACTTTTCAATCACCGAAAAGCAATGGAGGTGATTGTAGGCTTGTAATTACAACGTACCGACCACACTAAAATTTTACTTGTGAAAAGAACGAAGGAATAGTCAAAATTCAATAGCCACCCCATTAATGAATGAACATATGCTAAAAGTCCTCAAACCCTATCGGTTATTATGGCACTTATTGATTCGATTTGCCAAGTTTTCTCAAAGGCAAAGGGCGATTTTCAGACCATTAACATGTCGTGACATAATGTACGGGGAAGAGAAAAACTTTTGTTTTAGATTGTCTTAATTTCTAGGGTTTTCTAGATTGTGGGTGCATGTCAAATGATTTTGATTTATCAACCGAACTTGGGAAATTGGAAGAACATTCCATCCACGGAGAAAATAGAGAGAAAGGAAATAATAAGAATAATATATTTGAGCTTAAAAAAGTCAGCACACTTGGTAGCCTGTATAATTGCACGTACGGGTCTCTGATTTTCCTGCCCGCTCGTGTGGACGCTAGCATTGGAAGGAATTTGTTGCCGGTTTTGCTTCCGAACGAAACCTCATATCTCCGTCCTTTTCATTATAGTTTGTAAGATATAATGGCACACAGAATTAATCAACAAAGGCCTCCTGTTTTCCTAATGAATATGTTCAGTCTGGTTTAAATATTAGCAGGCATTTGTGGTTCAACTCAATCATTTTTATTATCTTAATCTTGTCCAGTAAGCCATTTATTAAGGTGATTTTCCTTTCCTTTTTTTTTTTTGTTTTTGGTACATGGAATTTTATAAAGGACATTGTGTTACAACATTCCAAGGACCACAAACCTTGTTTCGTTTTTTGTGTTGGGCTGGTTACTCTGTTTGGCCTGCATGCAAGGAAAAATATCACAAAGTGTGAAACAGATAAAATCGTGCTGGAAAAAGAACAAAACATTTCATTCTATTGTGTTTTTGTGAATTCATTCATATATATACATACATATATATATATATATATGCATTCCACTCAAAAAGCCGAATTCCAATATTCTGTCCTCAATTTATATTTATATATGAAAGAAAGAATACTTGCTGAGATCAAATCGAGTAGAATCACTAGCCGTACAAATAGTACTTAGTCCAACAGCAAGGAATGAAACAGATGTTCCATTACTCCACATAAAAATAATAAGGCAGTCCCAGCCCTACAGTAATCATCGTTGATTGGCTGCTTTTACGCCTGTATTATATTCCAAGTTCAAACAAATCCGATTTTCCAGTCTCTCTCCTGTTCAACCAAGGCAAGTTGGCTAAGTTATTCTATAAATAGCATAGCCCAAAACAGAGCTTTGGCAATTATAAAACATTTCAAAACGTTTCTTCTGTTGGGTTTTCGGTTTCATTCCTACAGTCTACTTTAATTCCGCCTCTCCTTTTTATTTTTTCCCTCCTTTCCAGAGTACCCAATTTTATATCATTCTTGTTTCCCTACTGGTATTTATCGGCTAAAGTTATCAGAAGTCCTCCCTTCCTATCTCTTTAAGTTCACACGCTGTCCTGGCTGGTCTCTTTTAGCCTTTTCCTTGTCTATATATTTGTCACCCGCTGCCCTCTCTTTTCCCTATCTCTTCTCTTATCTTCATAAATTCTTAATCATCTCTGAGTTGTTCCTTAATACCTAATTAGCGAAGCAAAGATATGGCTAAACTTGCCACCCTTTTCATCCTAACCCTCCTCCTCGTTTCCACTCTATCCTTTGCCTCCCGCTCTGGCCCAGCTTTCCCTAACGAGTCTCCTGCAAAAACCCAAGCTGAGGTTAGTTGAATTCTAAGTTTTTTCTTTCTTTTTCTTTTTCATTTTTCTTCCCCTTAAACTCATACTAATGATTTGGGGTTTTGATAGGGTGTTGAGACAGAGAATACTGGGGCGGTTGAAGATAGCTGTGAAGGAGTTGGAGAAGAAGAATGTTTGATGAGAAGAACTCTTGCCGCTCATATTGACTATATCTATACTCAGAAGCAGAAGCCATGATGAGGCTTTTTCTCTCTTTGTTTTAACTATGAATTTATTATGCTTGTTAATTATCTTATAACAACATAATTAATCAGGTTTTTGCACCTTTCTTGCGTTTGTTTCTTCCTTGATTACATCCTGGGGTATGCCATCAGAAGTATATTTCTTCCATTGTGATTAAGTTTTGGAAATATAGTTTGAATTTGTTGTATATTTTTCTAAAATTTTTTGTAATGCTAAATATATAATTTGGTGTGTAATTCTATCAAAATATTAAGCTTATGGAATGCTTTTGCTAAATATATTATTTAATAGGTAAGTGAATATTTCCCTACAAGGATCATTCCTGTGCTAGACAATATTCATGAATCATGATAGCAAAATAATTGCTAATGCGGGGCTGGGAACAGCTGTTAAGCTTTTTATTTATTTATTTATTATCAAATAGTGCCCTTATAAACTAGTATTAACAAAAGAAAATAAAATAGAAATATTGTCTTGTGATTTATAATGCCTCCATCAACTTTAAGTGAAGCTTCCTTGTTCCTTAAGTTCAAGTAAATATTTGTTAATGCAAGGACTTTCCTTTAAGAGATCTTTTTTTCTCAACACTGAGATGACTATTGACTGCTCTCTGCCCCTTTGCACCAAGGTAGAAAAATTAACAGTGGAAATGTGTCAACCAATTTAATTACTCACTAATTACAGGCTTACATCAAAGGTTGAAATTTGTAAGCAAGAGGATAACCTTTTGTCTTGCACTTTTAACTAAATTCCCCCCGGGCTGGAACAGTGTCTGGATTTCAAGCTTACTTTTTTATTGAATTTCTTAACAGAGAATCCTACAAGTTTTGAAATCTTGCTGAAACATGATTTACAGCAAGGAGGGAGATTGGGAAATGATAATTCCAATGCTACCAAAAGAAGTGAGAAAGAAAAAAGGGACCATGATCTTTGAATCACTTTTTCAGTTTTTCTTCTTATAATATTCCATGTAATGGGAGGTCAAAAATTGTGAACTACTAAATCTTCCTTAATCTTAGTCTATCTAGAAGGATCTTCCTTCTCTTCTATGATGCCATTATTACTTTGCACCTCAAATATAGCATTGGTGAAGAAAAAAGTGAAAGCTTACGACTATCTTGTCTCAGTTATTGCAATATACATGCACATTTCAGTAGGATCAATATTTTTCAAATTAAAAAAAAGGAACCGAAAGCAATTTCAACCTAGCTATTTTTGCATGTCCCCCTAAAGCTAGCCTCGTATATTATATTCGTCTCTTGTCAACCACCAAAATAACTTGTAACGCTTCTGGTTCAAGAATCCTGCAGGATCCCAACTAAAAGGAACAAAAAACTAATGGCATTTCTGCTTTATCTGTGGATTTAAATGCAGGCTTATGCAGTTTGCAGAAGATAGGACAATATAGTTGACAGTTGAAATTTTTATTTAGATTTGCATGTCACTCCTGCTCCTGGATGATGGGTTTTAAATGTATCACTGTTAAAGCCGGAATGAACATAAATGAGAATCCTTGACAAAGTTGCCATGTCACAATATTGTCTTATCAACATGCTTGTCACTGCATTTGTTGAGTTATATATTCCACGCAGGAGTTTTCAAATCATTTCTAGAAAACAAAAAGGGTAATTGACATTTCTGATCGGTTCATGGACCATTATCAATTGGCTACCCCCACCCCTAGCTTTTGACAATGCAAACCAACATTCTAAATGAGTGCTCGTCCTTTGCTTTCCTTAGGACATTATCCAATACTGACACGGCTGCTCAGCTATGAACAAATCTCAAACTCAGACAGAAGTCTGATAGTTGATTTATTTGTGTAAAGAGTAAAGCTAAACATATCTCTTTTACGCGTTTGCAATGCGTGTGGGAATCAATCTTAGGTCCTCGCTAGGTGAATTAATTAAGATAATAATGAAAATGAGAATAAGGATAACTAGATGTTAATTTTAATATTAGTGTGGTGGTCTAATGCTAATGTGAATAGGCATATTACCTACCACCTTTTTGGTCAAATGTTTTAAAATTCTTGGTCGTAGACCTAGTCAACAGTCATACCCAATCTAAGATAATGCGGCAAACATGGCAAATATAGCTAGTTTGGCAGTCTGTACATGATATTCTTTGCATTACTATAATCATCATATATATACATTTCCTTTTAGTGATAGATATTTTAATTTTGGTAAACTGATCATGGGGTTTGAACTGATGAATGGTATTAGCTAAACTGTACCAGTACTATCTTAATTTGCCTAATGCTTGCCATATTACGTTCCCAAATGAAAATATTCCTTCTGAAGTTGACACAGCTTCATTCAACTGATCAAGCAATTTTTTTTACTAAAAAATAATGAACAGCGGAAATGAAATCTTATATAACAATTAAGTATATTTAAGTGAGATGCACATGTCCATTAAAAAAGAGAGAGAGAGAGATGAAGATAAGGGAAATAAAATAAAAAGCTAAGTAAAAAAAAAAAGAAGAGAAAGGAAATTATAGGATTTAGCCTTGTACAGTTGGTGATTTTAGCTGCAGTAACCCAATAGAGATTGAGTTTGGTTGATAAAAAGCAAACGAACTCAGATTCTGGATCTATGTAGCCCATAACAGTTGGGCCTAATGGACCCTTAATGGGCTTTAAAGCCTGCTTCTTCTTCTATGAAAGAAGACGATTCAGAAAGACAGAAGACTGTTCAGCCAAAACCCTGGGAAATCCTGTAATTGGAAGAGGTTAGAGAAACTAATCCACCAAAAAAAAAAAAAAATTGAGAGCAAAAGCCATCACGAAGAGTTAAAAAGAAAAGAGGAAGGCTCTTAAATTGAAGAGTGGTGGATAGAAATGTTTAGAAGAAGCAGGTTTCTCTCTTTCCCGATGGTGATTGGAGCAGTCATGTAAGTTTCTTTATTTGTGGTTTTTATTTTAGTTTAATTTTCCTTTTATATCAATAGGGATTTCCATATTTTAGTGGTACCCAGCTTTGAATCTGTGCATGAAGAACGTTCCCAAGTTTAAATTTTGCTTAAAACTTTAATTGATGATAACGCAATGTTCCCTTGTCAAATTTTGTTTAATGAAACTCGTCTTTGCTGTGGATTTGTGAGCTGAAATGTTGAATTCTAGCTGTTGGGGGGAACCCATTAATATGGACTGGAAGTAATGTCTAATAGTTACAAGAGTAGTAGAAATTGAAGCAAGCAAGAATTTTCTATAAAATGGCATCTAAACATGACTTGTTCCTTGATAGGTTATTGTTTGTTAGCACCAGAAAGAACTTTTGTTTACGAGGATTGTGCAACATTATCTTAGGCAAGATCAGAATTTCCTTATATGCACTATTTTGATAAGTCATCCTTTGCTTTTTTCTGGTACTGGTTTCTATCTGATCTTTATGACCCTCAAATGATATAAGATAAGTTTCTTTTTGGTGCTTCCCAAAAGCTTTAGTTCTCAATCTGTCATTGGTACTCAAGTTTTGGGAAGATTTGGAGCTTTGAGCTACTGGGATTTTTCAACTTTGCATTCCCTTTTTTTGTTTTTTCTGTTGACACACCTGATAGGGTTAGAGCTTCGTGGGAGGCTTATATACCTGATTTTATACATGATTTTTATGTATGAGGTAAATGACTACTAGGATTTTCCAGAATTGGAGTCGTTTCTGGGAAGGCAATATTTGGACCTCCCCTTGATGAGTACTGGAGAAAGAAGCTTCAAGAAGAGGCTGCTGCAAAGGAGAATGAGGCAAACTCAACTTAGCTGATGTCTGTATTAAAATTTTTTCTGATCTGGTTGTTTCTGAATAGTGGAAAAGGGAAGTTCTCCATCCAGTTTGCCTTTGAAGATGCTTAAGCTTTGTTCAGACATTCGATGCTATTCTTGATGTTAGTCGAGCCAGAAGTTATGAATGTATGAAAAGCTGATACATGAATGCATTTTGTTCACAACAGTAGTGGTTATAGGATTGGTTTCTTCTGTATACATCTTTTGCTATTAAGGGATGAAAACTTGAAAATAATAATTTTTTTTTTGACAAGCAAAGGATCATTCATTTCCAAACGAGGAGAAAAAGCAATCCTCTTTACTTCACATCGAGGAAGCAGTCACAAAAGCTATTGGTTCATATACCCCGTTTGAGTGGTATATTTCCCAATAACTTTTAGACTTATCAAGAGGAACCTGTTTGCTGGCAAAAACAAACGCAAAACAAAACTCCCCCATCAAAAAAACAAAAGCAAAAACAGAGTCCCTGCACCTGACACAGGAAAATAAAAACTCATCCGTAGCAAGCACTTACCGATATACCTCATCCAGGTGGCATAAACTAAAGGTAAACCACATCCTATTTTCAAAAGTTAAAATCATGCAACCATCCTGTCTGCACCCACCAATTTAATTTACACTAAGAATCGACCCACCTTTGAAAAGGCTCCTTTCCAGTGTTGTAAATTCCAATTTACCATGAAAAATTAAAAAACTCTCAGGATGCCAGTTTGTAGCAGAACTCATTCTTTGGCTAAATCGTCTGCTCTTTGATTAGCTTCCCTTAACGCATGCCTTATCTCCCAATCAGTCAGTTCTTTCTTCATACTCTCAATTTGCAGTATCCATTTTCTCATTCTCCAAGGAGCCATATTTGCATCATTGATCCACTTCGCCACATTGGCTGAATCACTTTCAATGAGTAACCGATGATTCTCTTTCCACTGTGATGCTATGCCAATAAGGAAAGCCTCCCTTACCTCCAAAATTTCATCTTCATTTGAATCAGTTGTACCGATATGCTTGGAGAAAAGAATTTTTACCTCCCCATTTGAATCCCTCAAAATACCTCCAATTCCAGCTGGCCTTGGTCATTCTCTCGCCGCCCTCTCGCCGCCCCGACGGTATTTAATTTAAGTTGTCCATTTGAAGGCTTCTCCCAATAAATTCCCCTTCTTACATGTCTTTTATTAAGCTGCTGCCCCTGCATTGGTGGCTGTCTATACACTTTGAGAACAGACTTGTACTCCCCTGGCCACTTTGCGTTTGCCCATTCAGCAACTCTAATTCTAGCCAGTTCCAGGCATCTCCCTGCATCCCACTCTTTTTCCCTGAAGACCACTTCATTTCTGTCTTTCCCAATAGACCATACCAAGCAAAAAAAGCCATCTGCCAAGTTCTTTTGTCCAGATTTCCCAACTGACATCCATTCCAAGCTTCTTAAATTCCTTTTAACATTCCCAGGAGAGACCCAAACAACAGTCCAATTTCTGTACCATCCCACCCAGACTTTCCATGTCTCTTTGCCTTTAGCAAACAAGTGATCACGTGACTCAATTTCCATATTGCACAGCACGCAAGCCAGATTAATATTAACATGCACACCTCTTTTATTTAATTCCTCCTTCACTCCAATTTTACCATATAATAGTTGCCACACAAAAAACTCCACTCTATATGAAGCCAAGTTTGCCCAAACATATTTTCAAATCCCATTTAATTATCAGCAGTAACTAGATTGGACTTACAAAAAGAATTAGTGGTGTATTTGCCGCTTGCTTCTTGTTTCCAAATGAGTGCATCTTTGAGTTCTTTGTGGGGCTGAAATTCAACAAGCAGTTCTTGGTTAATTTTGCTGAGCAGTACTTTAGTTGCAATATTCCAATAAAATGCTATAACAAATGTTTCTAACACAATTCAATCGAGTGCCTGATGGTATAACTTGCATGCCTCTTTGTACCATTGCCTGTCTAGTTAATTACTCATTGGAGTCTGGGAATGGCAGATAAGCTTGACCATGGTGTTTCTATCTTCTTTTGTCACGGACAGGAAGGTAGCAGATGATAGGGAAAAATACATTTATGGAAAAAGTTGGCTAGCAGTTAGCAGAGGACAAAATACATTTATAAATTGGGGTAATGAAAAGAAATTACAATTGATCGTCCTGAGAAAGAATATTTATTCAAAAGAACATGAGGGTAGAGGGTAGATAAATTTGATAGAGACAATTTGTCTGAAATCAAATTGAGTTATAATCCAACAATATAGTAAAACAGCTTAAATCGAATTTAAATTTACTTGAATTTAGATATTATTCAACTTAACTAGACTTAAAATAATTCGCATATCAAAATGATTTGATAATTGTGTAATTTGAAGTTAAATTGGTTTGAAAATTGAATTAATTCAACTTATTTAAATGGTGTGCACAATCCAAATTTAGAAAGTAAAAAAAGAAGTTAAACATAAAGCTAAGAGGTGATTTTTTTTTTGGAAAAAAGAAGATATATATAGGGGAAGAAGTATTTAATTATTTGATATATAAAGGTATAAAAACATGTGAGGAAAGACAATTAATTCCTATAATAGTGATTGAATTTCCATGTAAATTAACATACTTGTACAGTTTGTATGTTTTGTTTTAATCATATACTATGATTTTATAAATTTATTCAAGTTTTATCTCATTAATTTGGTGACAAATTTAATTTTGAGAATAGCTCGTGTAGCAAAAATTTATTTGCTATTTATTTATTTATTATTAAATGTAAGTGTCTTTATGTGAGTAAAAAAATTGATGTTATATAAATGATAATTCTTAAATTTTTTAGTTGATTTTTTATAAATTATTAAAAATATATATCAAAATGACTTAATTTTCAAGATAACCTGATATGTGAGATAATCCGAATATGACTTAATCCAATTCAAAATGATTCAAATGTCATAATAATAATAATAATAATAATAATAATAATAACTTAATGATAGAACAACTCAAATTGAAATTGACTTGACTAAAAACAATAGATAATCAGATAAGACTTGTAATTCAAAATAACTCGTCCAATTGTCACCTAGACATGAGGGTTTTAATAATTATAGGAAATCTATATTACTATGTTACCTTTATATCTTTTTATTTTGTTTTAAGAAAAATAAAGTGGAAGAGTGAAATATATTGGTACAGTCAGGAAGATGAAGCTACCGAAGGCCACAGTCGATGACCTACCCAGATCCGACTTGTTGCGGTTGAATCCGGCCATGGCCTTGTCACATGTGGCTTGTTATGTCTACATTTGGCAATATATAACCATGCTAGATCCAATTCTGTGACCGAAATCGACTTATCTCGAATGGTTTAGTCAGTTTTAACTATTTTCAACGACATATTTAATTACATTTTAATTAAAATAAATTCAACTTATACAAAAATAATTCAACAAGTACATGAGAAAAAAAAATCCCTCTAACTTGTATCGTGTAACAAATAAATCTAACTTAAAATTCAATGCATCATAGAAGTCAATTTAAACAAACTAATCTTTTAAGAGTTAACAATCAACATCTTAAAAGCCAACCTAAAGGAAATAATATTAATATATATATAATAATATTAAGAGTATTCATATGTAAAATATATTTATTAATGGCTAATATTTCAATCAATTCAGTTATAAATTTAGACATCAAAAACTAATCGAACAAACCATTTTTCTAACCGATTAATATTGAAAATGAAAAACCAACCCGAAAATTAATTAAATTGAATTGATTCTAATTGATTATTGAGATTTAAATAGATTAATGTTCAACTGTAGTCTGTTGGATTCTGACGTGGTTAGATGTAGCCATTAGCTTAACTGAAAGAACAGATTTGATCCAAAATTTTGACGTTCTTGTATAAACAAGTGCAAGCATCCAACCAACTGCCATGCTTTGGTGAATCTTCTCTTTTAATTGATTCACATTTCAAAGTCATATCCTGGTAAGCTTCAACTGTTCAATTTGCGAGAAAAGGTCATGTCCCGGAGATGATTATTCAATTCAAATTACAAACCAAAATAAACAAGGACAAGTTGATTTATGTTATATGTACGAAATCAGTATACATCTAAGAGCTCCGTACTTGTCAGGTTTGCCTTGATGGCTACATTCAATGAAAACCAGCTAACTTCGGTCCATGTCTGGCACGGCATGGCATTAAATTGCTTCTTCTGGTTGCAGAAGCAAACTCTGGCCATTAAAGGCATTGCAACAAGCATCGGTGGTATAGTTCTAGGGCTTCTAGGCCATAGTAGAAGCACAGTCGCAAAGCTTATTATACAACTTTTGCAGATTAGACAGTGTCAAAAATAGCAAGCAAGATTAGACAATTAATCCCAAAGCTTTGAATGCAGTCCACGTGCTTAATACATTTGTACAAACAAACATTGTAAATGGGTACAAGCAAGTTTCGTTGGTAGCTAGGGAGATTTCTTATTCTTTAGATTATGCTGTCTACTCAACCGTCTCCTATTCCCACAATGGAAAAAGATTGGACCTTGTATCCATTGCCTAACAAATACATTAAATACCATTTTACAGAATCTTAAAGATGAAAGCGGTTGGTTCTCTGAGGTGAAAGGAGATGAAAAGAGAAATAATTTCCTGTTGTCAGAAGCGACTTTGAAACCTTGAAAAGGAATGAAAACAAAACAAACTATTTTGCATTCACGGAAGCAACTTTCTCAGATTCTGCTGACAATTTTAAGAAAGCAAGTAAGAAGTTCAAGGAGTTAGACACAAAAATACAACGAAGACATGACCATACGAAGGAATTGGCTGACTCTATAGGGTGCATGACCTGGTGGAGGAAATTAGGCTGGAACCAAAACCCTGACACCGCCAAGAATATGCAAGCACAGAGACAAACATATAGCAGCTACAACTGAGGACTTTGCAGTAACATATCTCACCACCTCAACACCACCTTCAACTACGGCTTCATGAGAAACCTTAACACAATTTTTCATGCCTTGATGTACTGTCTCTAGCAAAAACTCAAGGAAAGATCTAACTGTTTCAAATGTAATCCTTCCAGTCACGTCAAGAACAAATTTCCTATTGCTTGGCTCTGCTAAAGTTGATGACACTTTACTAATCCACCCATCGTTCTTGACCTCATCGAATGAGTTCCTTGCTTTCAGTTCAGTAAATAATCCGTCCTGTTCGTAAAGCTTATCCCCAGTCGCATCATCTTGTCTGTATTCAATTGCCAACGAAGGTGAACTCTTACTCGAACTAGAACTTGTCAAAACTTGATGAGATGTCTTGACAAGAGTCTCAATTGCACCATTACAGACAGTAACTAAAACACCTCTCACTTCTGTTTCATGCTTAGGGTTAGTCAATCCTGCAAAGAATTCATCATAGTTGTTGACATCCTTAGTTTTTTCAAGATACGCAGAAACCATAGAACTAACAAACAATTGAATACAATCACCAATCAGCTCTCTACACTTATCACCACACACAACCTTCAGCCAGCTTGGAACAGAATTCTTTTCCAAACTAATCGGATTCGATTTCAATTTTTCATCGGATTGATCACCTGAACAAAATGCCAAGACCAAGTTGCTAGCAAAGCTTCCAGCAACAACAGAAGCAAAACCAGCCCCAGCTTCAGTAAAAAGCTTAGCCATAACTTTATCCATTGAACTAGAATTGACATATAGGCCATTACCACTTCTCGCCTCCAATTGATAACCACGTAAAATTCCCAGAGTCATAGCTTGTGTAACCCTTACTAAGGACTGAGAGATTTCATTGGACATCGTGATTTTCGAAACTTGCTTCGAACTGTTAGGTATTTGGTCTGATTCTGACTGTAGAAAATCTTTCAAATCTTTAGAAACAACTCCAATTGTTTCGGCACAATCAGAGACAGCTTCAGCCATAGAAATCAAAGCTCCCAAAAGCTTTAAGACTCTCTTTCTCTTTTGAGCTATAGCAGGCAAGTGATAAACTCTATAGAAACCATAACTAGTTAAACCGAAAGCCGCCAAAAAAACAACCCAATTCTTCTTCTTCCTGGTAAATTCCAAACCCTTTAAAGCCAATTGAAGCTTCATAACTTTACCAAATAAGAATTTCTTAGAAAGCCCAGAATAAACTGAGAAAAAGCCAAGAAAATTCACCTAAGCCAAAGTCTTCCTCTTCTCCTCCACTGAAGTCTTCTACTTGTAGAATATTCCATCATTAAAAAAAGACAGAAAAAACCCTTTCCTCTCTCTTATTTTTCATGTCATTTCACAATAAAATAAGCTAAAAGAACATAAACTAAAAAGAGAAAAAAACGAAACAGAAAAACCAGTCATAGAAGGCAAATGACATCAAAGCAGTTGCAGAGGACACTGCCGTCTCGTGCTGGAACAGGGATCATATTCTGTAGTGCAATTTCGATGAATGTGTGCGAAAAATAATCGAAGGGAAAAGCAGAGCAACGATCAGCAAATCCAGGCATTCATCAATCGTCGGCTTTCAATGTTGAACGACCACCAGAAAATTCAATTAATGCCACCAAATAAAAAGGCGGGCCTCTGCAGTTTTACTCCAATGGGCCCCGTTTACCTACAGATTCCGGGCCTACAGTTGTACCATTTCCGAGCAGTGTCTTCGTCACAACATACAACTTGTTCTAATTTTTCAATTTATAAAAGATACTGATCCCAGTCTTGGTTGGTGAAACAAATGATTAATCTGTGTGATATAGTTTGTAACTTTTGAATATTTAAGATGTTTTAAAGAATTAAAAATGGACAATTAATAATGGCATGCTATGCCTAACTTCTAAATGAATATAAGGTCCCAAAAGCACTTACCTTCCAATTTAATTAGGAAACAAAATGGATACGAGAATTCTACTAGGTAAAAATATCACGAAGAAAGTGTCTTTATCTCAATTCGGATAAGAATGGAAAGTCTTGAGCTCTTTAAAAGCGGGTGTGTTGTACACCTTCATAAACGCGTTTATGGAGGAGAGAGTAATGATCCCGTGACAAGTGATATTAGAGCGGACTGGACCTCATCTGACTCACGTCAAAGCGCCCGGGCCTAGGAAACTCAGGGTAGGCAGGGTGGCCAACGGCAACGTGACGTTGTCGGAATCGGGTGGGAGAGAGCGTCACTAGGAAAGTGTCTCTATCCCATATTGAACAGGAATGGGAGGTCCTGGGCTTTTTAAAAGCGACAACGTGACGTTGTCTGAATCGGGTGAGAGAGAGTGTCACAAGAAAAGTGTCTCTATCCCACATCGAACAGGAATGGGAGGTCTTGGGCTCTTTAAAAGCGGCAACGTGACGTTGTCAGGAATCGGGTGGGAGAGAGTGTCACGAGGAAAGTGTCTCTATCCCACATCGAACAGGAACGGGAGGTCTTAGGCTCTTTAAAGCAGTGTAGCTGCACACCCTCATAAGAGCGTTTATGGGAGTGAGAGTAATGACCCCGTGACAACGAATAGGATTAGGCTGCTTAAAAGCAGGTGTACTGCACACCCTCATAAGAGCGTTATAAAGTATATAAAATTCACCGTGACAAAAATAGGATTAAGGCTCTTTAAAAAATAAAAATAATATACTGTAATAAAATTACATATAACTTTATATAATTAATAGTACTATATAGTAAAATGGTTATCGTATATTAAATGACAACGTAATATATACAGTAATAGGTACTTAACTAATATATATTCAGACTAATATCACGTAGTATAACTCGTATATATACTTTGCCACCCTCATAAGAGCGTTTATGGGAGTGAGAGTAATGACCCGTGACAACGAATAGGATTAGGCTCTTTAAAAGAGGGTGTGCTGCACACCCTCATAAGAGCGTTTATGGGAGTGAGAGTAATGACCCCGTGACAACGAACAGGAACGGGAGGTCCTGGGCTCTTTAAAAGCAACAACGTGACGTTGGCAACGTGACGTTGTCGGAATTGGGTGGGAGAGAGTGTCACAAAGAAAATGCCTCTATCCCACATCGACATCGAACATGAATGGGAGGTCTTAGGCTCTTTAAAATGGGTGGGAGAGAGTATCACAAAGAAAATGCCTCTATCCCACATCGACATAGAACAGGAATGGGAGGTTTTAGGCTCTTTAAAAGCGGGTGTACTGCACACCCTCGTAAGAGCGTTTATGGGAGTAAGAGTAATGATTCCGTGACAAACGGATTGGGAATACAAGAATATTAAATTTTTAAAATTTAATTAATAAAAATCATAAATACCATAATCCAACCAATATGAATGGAAGAAAATCTCAAATTACAAATCCTATTAATTAATTGCTAATCTTAATTAACGTAACTTCCCTTAGATGAAAACATCAATCGGGAGAAAAAGTCTAAAACTACCCCAATCGGACTAATTTCTTTGACTCTCTTTTGAGCATTTTTGTAGCAAAATGTGTGAAGACTTCAAAAGTGTTGCCTATTCAAGCAAGCAAAAAGAATAAGAACGGAGGAGTCCAGCGAAAACTCAAAACTCAACCATGATTCGCCACGTCATCATCCTAGGATTTAGCTGACTGGGTAAATGCCCTGCAACCCTAAGAAAAAATCCCAGCCACAAATGCGAAAATGGGGCCATTTTAAGCCACGTGGCAACCTCTTAGAGAGGTAGAGCAGCCGCATGGTGTGATGACACGTGTAGTCAATCTGGTACGTGGCCAATCGTCACGGAAAGTCCTGGTCTTCCTTCCTCCCGGCGCCTCGACGTAATCCAGTAAAATGCAAATTTATATATATAAATGAAGGAATTGTGAAAAATAACTTTCTTCCTAAGTTTAATTTTTGACATGATTTAATAATAATATTTTTTAAATAATTTCAGACAATTAATATATAAATGGTATTAAACCTGTTTCAGGTATCAAACACTTTCAAAAATTCTCTTGTAATATATGAAAAAAATAAATAACCCGAGTGAAAAAAGATTCAGTGTTTTTGTTTGTTTTGATTATTCTCTTGAAAAACCAAGAAGCCAAGAAGGAAAAGAACAAAAATTCTTTGGACTTAAATAGGAGGGTTTCCAAGTTTGGATAGGAGTCTTCTTTTTTTTGTTTTTTTTGGGTCCGTTCACCATTTGTTTCGGTTCTCTATCTCTGTTTCCAAGAAAAAACCTTTCTATACTTAGCATAAACCACAGGGAAAAGAGCAGAAAAGAAAAGCTTTCAGCACCATCAATTATTTGGTTTCCATGCTTTGATCAGAAGGTTTTGGTTTCTGCAGTTCAACCCAGTTTTCTCATCTCTGAATACAAAGGTGGGTGATTCTAAACTTTATCACATTCAATTTAGTTTACTTTTTCTCCTCTGTTTATATGTATGCGAGGTTCGAGCTTTCTTCCTGAAAATTTCGTCTTTGAAATAGACATCTCTGTTCCTTATAAACCACACTTTGCTTGTAGAAAATTCAAAGATATTCTTTCCTTCTTTTTCTAGCATAGATATACATACATGCATCGACAATATCCAGAATTTCAGATTTCTTTTACCATAACTGGAAGTCCTACTAATCGTTTTTGATATTATCTCAATGACCCCAATCCGAGTGGGATTCAACTAGATTTTTCACTTATTTTTCTTTTCCTCTTGTTTCCCTTTCAAACAAAGAAACGAAGCCAAAACGCAGCGGAAATTTCCTTACGAGTGTACAAAAACAGTTGTCTTTGTAAAGTCTCTTGTTCCATATATATATATATATATATATATATATATATATATATATATTATTGTGAAAAATCAAGCTGTACGCCGCTTGCTTATTTTTTCCTCCATTTTATTCGCTGTTTTAATCACGCGTTTTCAATATATATAGTTTTTAGTATTTTTCTGATTTGAATATTCTACAACATGAGCTCTAGTATATATATGTGAATATTGATGCATGTTTCATGTTTCCTTAAGACTTTACTCTCCGAATGAAGCAATCTTGAAGCTCTCTTCCGATAAACAAGATGGAGATTGTTTACCAGCCTTACATTGATCCTGAGTTTGAGTCACTCATTGAAAGGATTCATCCTCCCAGGTACGGTAAACTAATCCTATACTTCATTTCCTTTCTTTTGTTTCTTTTGGTTTCTTTAATAAATCATGGAACCTGAAAATCTGAAACCAATATGGTTTAATTCGCCGGTTTGGCGTTTCCAGAGTTTGTATTGACAACGACGCATACCAAGACTGCACGCTTGTAAAGGTTAGATCGAATATCAAATATCTTCTTGTTAAGGTTTATGTTAACAGTAAATTTAATCTTCGATATCGTTGAAGATGATAAGGCTTGGTTTCTGGATTTTTTTGTTGGTTCGCCTTATTTTTAACATTTTTGGATAAAGACTGGGTCCAAAGGCAAGCTATAGGTTCCAAGACTCCACCCATTGGTGTGTGAAACCGAGGGAGATATACACCACCATTAAACATTTAATTAATCTAGGAATTAGGCACCATATCATTTGTTCTAATCTTAATCATTAAACTTAAAGCGCATCAATCCAAATCCCCACTTGTCTACATGGAAATTAATAAAATAATACCAGTTGGAAAGTTGGGAGTCTGGGAAATAGAAGTAAAGAGATTTCTGAGTAACCGAGTGGAGAGCCATTAATCTAGTTGTAAGTTGTAAAGGAAAATTGGAAAGGAAAAATATAACTAGGAGAGAGGGGTGTAGAATGTGGAGGAACTTTTATAGTGTCAGGATTCCTGCTTCATTTATTGGTAATGTTTTGGGGAAGAGGAAGACTGTCTCCAGGACTTCTAGAAAAACTTACTTTTAGATGGCATCCAATCGACCTGCCGTAATGATCTTGTTCTCAAAAGATCAGAAAAGCCATAATAAACCAAACACAATTTGACAAGGGGAAGTTTGGCCTATGCAGTTCTTTTCTAACCAGGCTTTCAAAAGGTTAGCTTTTAAGAGGCAAGAAAAATGACCTGGGAAACTTTTTTACATATGTCAACTCTCACAGGTGGATAGTGCAAACAGGCACGGGATTTTGCTGGATATGGTCCAAGTTTTGACAGATCTTGACCTTGTTATATCCAAGTCGTACATTTCCTCTGACGGTGGATGGTTCATGGACGGTCAGTACCCCCCACATCACCTTTGCATCACTAGTTAGCTTCCCCTGCTTTTCTTCTCTTCATTTTATTATCTCGATTAACCTTCTATATCTGATAAACGTATTACTATCCACCAAATAAATATCAATGGGGATATGGTGCTCACTTTGCGAGGTGCCTATGAGTCACCCACGGCTTTTCTGTGCCCTAATCCATGTGGGTGATTTTCGCAGTGTTCCACGTGACAGACCAGCTTGGGAACAAACTTACTGACGAGAGCCTTATTCTTTATATCCAACAGGTCTTTTTCTTCTCCAGAATTCTCTGAAATTATCTTATTGTAAAGTAACAAAGTTTTGATTGATTAAGTTAAGGTTTTAATTTGTTTTCTAATAAGAAAAACTATAATTGACAGGCAATTTGTTCTACTAGGAGAGGAGGGATTCCAAAGGAATTACAAGCATTCCTCAAAAGGGCAGTGAGGCCGTGTCACGTCTCAACAGAGCATACAGCCTTGGAGATGACTGGGAGGGACAGGCCTGGCCTCATGTCGGAGATATCAGCAGCTCTATACGGATTGGGATGCCATGTCACTGCAACTGTGGTCTGGACCCATAACGCCCGCATGGCCTGCATATTCCATGTAGAAGATGGGTTCAAGGGAGGGCCCATCATGGAGCCGAATCGGCTGGCAGAAGTACAGGAAAAGCTAGAGAATGTGGTTGAGGCCCATCATGATAGTGGTGAGCAGCGGAGCGTCAGGTTAACTGCTCCGGCAGCTGGTCGGACACACACGGAGCGGCGGCTCCACCAGTTGATGTATGCCGATAGAGATTACGAGCAATGTCGGGGCTGCGATGGCAGCTGCAGGCACTGGAAGGGGTGTACCAAGACTCACGTGACGATAGAGACTTGTAGGGAAAAGGGGTACTCAGTGGTGCATGTAAGGAGTAGGGACAGAATCAAGCTATTGTTCGATACAGTTTGTGCCTTAACCGATATGCAATATGTGGTGTTCCATGCAGCGGTTAGCTCAAATGGCTCCATGGCTAATCAGGTACCTTAAGAAGAAGTTGCAAATGGCTTGAAATATTTGTTTTTATTTTGCGGCCTTTAAGTTTAGTTAAACTGAGGTTTTCTTTCAGGAATATTTTGTAAGGAGGCAGGACGGCTGCAGTTTGGTTACAGAGGATGAAAGACACAGACTTACACAATGTTTGATTGCAGCAATAGAACGAAGAGTCTCACGTGTTAGTTCCTTACAGCATGCAGTTTTGCTTCTGCTTTTTGTGGTTCGAATTGTATTTAGTAAAATTGTAGCAAGTAGCAATCTTTTTTTGGGTATTTTCTAGCAGGGATTGAGACTGGATGTATGTACTCAAAACAAGATGGGATTGCTCTCCGACCTGACCAGGGTGTTTCGAGAGAATGGGCTATCAATAACCAGGGCGGAAATAGGGACGCATGGGGAGAGAGCAATCGGATCTTTCTATGTTACAGATGCTTCAGGGCATGACGTGAATCCGAGGACGGTGGAATTGGTGAGACAAGAGATTGGGGGATCTGCTTTGGTGGTAAACAAGTCTCCCGATATGACTTCTCGAGCTTCTTCATCAAGTATTAGCAGAAGCAGCAGTGGTGAAGTGGAAGAACGGCCGAGATTTTCATTAGGAAATTTGTTATGGTCTCAGCTTGAGAGAATTTCAGGGAATTTCGGGCTCATTAAATCGTGAGGAGTTCCTAACACACGAACTTCTTTCAGGCTGTACCTGTACCCTTGTCTGTACATAAGTTTGTGTAAACAAAGTAGTTTTCTTTGTTTTTTAATGATTATATTATAGTAGTCTCTTGATCTCTTTCTAGTCATTGTTTGATCTACATATTGAACTTTTCTTCGAACAGCAAAAGAGTATAGGCTTATACTCTGGAAGCACAGACAGAAGGAAGATTGTTCATTGAACATTTCCCTGATTCATTCTAAACTTCACTCAAGCAAGGCTTGCCTGTATAATAGCCTGGCGCATACAGTTGCAATACAACAAACATTTGTACATAAAAAGCTCCATGAAAATTGAAGAAACTTGAGTTTTGTGCCAGAGACCAGAGGGAAACTTGAGAGGGTTAAAGAGTATTGTGACAGGAGTTCTCCAATTTTCCTGATAAAGTTGTGCGAAAAAAGATAGATATATTAATGGTTTTAAGGTACAGACTGCAAAATTAAAAATGAAAATAAGGGTGTATTTATAGAGTCAATCAATAATAAAAGAAGAGGAAATAATAGAGATATTCACTTCTTTTGGATGGTGAAGAAGATCCTTATCCCGTAAGGAACCCATATCATAATTTTTAGATTTACCATAAAATATTAGATACTATTTATAGGAAATCTAAATTGCTACTGATGAAGAGCTCAGTTTAGTCAACTAGGCCTAAGTTTGTGAAAGCTGACAAGGGTAAAGGTCAACAATGTTTTATGAGCTTGCGGTTTTCACTTCTCAAGCCAAATAATGCTTCATCGCTAAACTTTTCTAAGATTAGGAACAATTTACTCATAAACCCTGTATTTTCTAGCTGGCACGGCACTCTAATCTATTCTGCATAAACAAGGATTCATGGCAACTTCAACCTGTATAGCTCTAAATTTTTAGCATGCATTCCTGATGAAATAGCAACGACAAAGACACTTCACATGATAAGTGCTGAATTTATTAGATATAAAAATACATGAATATTGCAGCAGTACATATTTATCCAATTTCGACAGGATTTTATGTACAAAACATACTGTTTCTAGAGCCTAAGCTCGGACTGAAGAAACCATTCACATGGTATTCACAAGGTTATAAGCAGGAAGAATCTAGAATTCAAATATTCCAAAGGTTTTGCTTCACATGATCTCTTCGATATCAAGCCAGTCATTTGATTCCTTGATTTGAGGGTTATGGGCACTCACCTGCTCAGACCCAGAATGTTTATCACCAACACAGCTAACGTCTTTAACTGAGTCCGTAGAGCTCCTGCTAAGCTGAACCCAATCTCTTGAGTCTTTTGTTGAAGAGTCAGAACCAGATGTCACTTTTTTGTAACTTATTGGCACGTCATCATCATCATCCTCAAGATCACTGAATGAAACATCCTCATCATTTCCAAGAGGAATTGTGGTACCACTTGTGCCGACTACCTCCCCAGTTTCCTCTTTTAACCAGTCATCACCGTCATCTTCAAGTTTCTCAATGGAAACTCCGGAAGAACCAGATGTTGAATGTTGATGTTTGGTCTCTTTCATTGGCTCTTCCTCGATGACAGACTTGTCAATAACCTGCATCTCAGTACTCTGAACTGGATGCTTCTCTGTCTCAATTTCAACAGCTACAGCAGTGGTGGCTACTTCACTTTCAGATGCCTTGATTGGCACTGCCTTAGATTGAGTGGGAGAAGGAACAGAAAGAGGCTCTTCATGCGGCAAATCAGCCGTTAATTTTGAAGTGCCACTTTCGGAATATTCTTCTGCATTTTTTGCCTTCACTCGGTGCTGTAACCCTTGCATTAGCATTGCTCTTGCTTCAACTATCTGCATGTAGTCCATTTAGCAGTTAAAAATGCACAAAAAGCAGAGAGGAAAGAGGGGTGAAGGAAGCTCAATCACAAAGAAAAGCACAAGCAATCCTTCCCTTATTTAATTTTTCATTAATCTGGCTTCAAAACTTTTGGATTACATTTTAAAAGAAATGATGTGCATAAGAGTGAAGAAAATGTTAATTGAAGGAGAAAGAAGAGATCTGGAAAAAGAAAAGTGGATTAGGCAAGCCACTGCAAGGAAATCTCAGGCCACTAGCTTAACAGAATGGCAAAAACAAATAAGCCATATACTAGCACTCCTTCCCAAGGTGAAAACGATGTTCAAGTCTGACGAAGACACACACAGAACTAGATGAGCTCTTACAATGTACTGAAGAATTATTTGCATCTAATTGCTATGCAATGATTGGTTCTATTATCAATCTTATAACTGTGGTAGATGAAATTCCTGTCACTCCTGGAGAAACATAATATACATCACCTTGGAATGACCAAAAATTTTGGGCTCAACCAATGAAAACAACAGGTCCTACCAGAAAAAACAAACTTACTTGGGGAGTAGACAGAAGCTCTGCATCATGTTTATTGAGTCGAGGATGCAGAAGTACAAAATAAATTTTCCAAAAGCAACCCTCACTCATATATCCTGGGCAAAGTTCAATCCTAAGGGCAGCCAATCTTGATGCAAGACGTTCAACAGCTAAAGCATGTTCTTGTTGTGCATCAGACATGTCAAAATCTGAAATTTCAAAATGAAAGGATGCTTGAAATCAGCCTGATTCATAACAAAACAATAATATGCATATATGCAGAAAAACATCAATGAACTAAGGGTAGAATGGCGCTTACGGCAAAACAAGCTAACATTGAGGCAAACCAGTGATACCCAACTATGCCAGTGTAGCGTCATTCAAGAAACCAAAATATTCAAACAGTTTCTCAAAAGCCATGAGTTTGCAACGTGCTATTTTTGCAATGTAAGTTACCTAAATGGAAGCCAAGATATGTAATTTAACCAAGAACTAGCTAACTAAAAACTAAAAGAAAAAATCATGATCATCACATCACTAAGAAGCAGAGCGAATTGTCAAATAACATGCCAAGAATATATACTAGCTCATATCCAAAGGTTTTTACTTTCTACTTAACATCTAGAAATTTATTGTACCAAGTGGCCAAGGAATAAATAAATCATTAAAATATACAGAAATGTCTGACATAAGACTTGTGAGTAGTTTTGACAATTACTTTACCACCAATTAGCCATCAACCCTCAAGAGCATCATAAAGCAGAAAGAATTATTCAGACAACTTTATCCAAGCAAGCAAAGCTACCTTTCTAGAGTTTTTCAGTTAAATCTCATAGAGATAACAAACTTGAGCGGATTGAGAAACCACAACGCTTAAAGCAATTGGAAGACCCTTCACAGCAACCAGAAAGGATCTTCAGCCAAAGATAAACAGTCGACATCACAATTTTTTTTCTCATTCCACTTATAACCAAAGAGTTTTACAATTCCATAATCAATTATCAATTATGCATTACAAATTTCAATAATCAAAGTCAACCAACAAAATCCCCAATTCCGAAAAACAATCCAAATTACAAAGAAAGACGGCCAAAAATTACCAATGAAAGAACAAGATGTGAGCTTATTTGAAATGCACATTACTATCCTAATTTTTTTAATTAAAGCACAGTAATCCCGAAATTAGAAATTCAGTAAATTACCATCAAAATCATCATCATCAGGCACGGGAAAATCAAGCCAAGTTTCGGGATGCATCGCGATATCCCGAGCGAAGGCAACCACTTCTTCAGTCAAACCAACAACGTTTCCACTCTCGTATTTTTCAAGAATCTCTTCCTCGGATCCAAACTGAAGAAAATTTGAAGCGATCTTAGTGAACTCCGAGACGGCAATATTGTTCGAGAGCTTCGAGATTCCGGTCTTGAATTTCCCGCCAATCTCGGTTAAATCGCTGCGGATTCCCGCTATCAATGCCTCATCCGGATCATTGGACGGTGGCGGGCGAGATTTTTCCTCCCCCGTGTGATCGGGCGGTTGGTCCCATGAAGGCGGAGGAGGCGGAGCGAGGAAGGACGCCACACCCCAGAATTGGCGGCTTAGGGTTTTGGTGAGCTCGGAGAGGTCTTCTTTGACGCCACGAGGACTGTTGGGATCCGATGAGGAATGGGAATGGGAGGGGGAGGATTGGTTGGGATTTGGATCGGATTCGGGTTTCGGATTAGGGGCGGCATTGGTGTGGTGGTGGTCGTCGTCATCGAGCTTGAGCGAGTTGGCAATGGACCTAGCTAACCACGACATTTTTTTCTTTTTTGGTTTCTTGTTCTTAAAGTTGTGATTATGACTCGCAGAATTGGTGAGAGTTTGTTAAACAGGGATGATAGATAAGGGGGACTAGTGGCAAACTCTCTTGAAAACCGACACCGTTTCGGCTTCTTTTTGCAGTGATATGAATCATTATTACGGTGTATCTTTATGCCATTTTCTAAAACAATTGTCAAGTATGGTTTCGCACATCCTCTTTTGTCCTTTTCTCTTTTTATTTAATTTTTGTATAATAATTTATGTAAAAAAATTATTAAAAAGTATTTTTGAGATAAAATTTTTTTTTGAAATATTTTAGTATTTTTCTCATATTTTTTGAAATATTTTAATATTATTAAACTTATGATATTGTTAAAATTTTATAATTTGATTTTATTTATTATGCAATTAGTATCAAAAATAAAATTAAAAAAATTAAGCTTGATTGCATTAAAATCCATACCTTCAAAATTTTTAATTAATCTGATTATCAACAGAATTAATCGATTTAATTCAGTTAATCCGGTAATCAGATAACGCATTTGGGCCATGCAGGCCCAAATTTAAATTTGCATTTTGGGTCAAACTAACAGAAAATATCCTAAATCCAAATCCATGTTTCTAATCCAAACACAGGCCCTGCTGTTTCCTCTCTCTTCGTTTCCCGGTTCTCTCTTCCTCTCCAGGCGAACAACCCTTGGATGAAACTCGAGCTGATTCAGCTCATGCAAGTAAAGCTACTTTGCAGCTCTTGACCAATCCTTCCCAGAAAATGTTCCTTCGGAATGGCTTATTATCTCTCAATCTTACTTCGTTTTCATCACCCCCTTCTCCACCGGCCAAATCACTCTCTTTTCTTTTCTCTTTCAACAAAACCATCGCTTACTCAACCCATAAGCGCCCCCACCCTAAACCTAAAGTCTCTGCTTCAAGAGCCGCAAAGCAGCCACTGTCTGAGAGGGCGCGGTTTGCGAAGACAGTATTATTCGTGCCACCTGGGGTCGACCCGGCAGAGGTAACAGATGAAATGATATTGCCAGGGTCCAACATCGTACTCGGACCTTACGCGGGTCATTCTCAGATTAAGGAAGTGGAGTTTGTAAAGAGTAGCGGTCGGGCTAAGGATTGTCCCAAAGATGATCGACCCGAGTTTGCAATCTTGGGTCGGTCTAATGTGGGCAAGTCTTCGCTTATTAATGCTTTGGTTCGAAAAAAAGAAGTTGCTCTCACTTCTAAGAAACCGGGTCCTTTTTCTTTTTAGAATTTTTCCTTTAAATTTCTGCTTTTTTCGATTAGTGTTTCTGAGCTTTTAATTGGGTTGCATTTTTTATTTTGGGATTGTCGAATGTGCAGGGAAGACACAGCTTATTAATCATTTTTTGGTGAATAAAAGTTGGTATATAGTGGATTTGCCTGGTTATGGGTATGTTTGATTTCTTCTTTTAATTAGCTACTTAGTACAATGAGAACTCTTTTTCTTTTCCTGAATTCATGTTTAAGCGTTTTAAATAGTTGTTGGTAAGCTTTAAAAGGATTAAACTTCCAATGGAGCATGCAACTAAAGAAATTCCTTTATTTGCCATGTAGTTTGATACTAGTCTACCAGAATGTTTTAGCTGACTGTGATGGGTAAACATTATTATTATCATTATTAGCTAGTAATGGGGTGACAATTTGGTTGTTGTCCTATGGAGGAAGTTAAGACTAATTTTGAGATGAAGTTCTATTGTTTGCCTAGCTTTGTTAGGCTGTAAGAATCTCTTGCTTGGAAACTTACATCTTGCTGTCATTTCTATGTGAGGTCTGATCCTGCAATATTGGGGCGTGACATAAGTATTCCATGTTAGACAAAGATAATTTAAACCTAAAGCTAAACACAGAATTATTTCACTCTCACTCCATGAAGGACGAATTGGTTGTTTATATGCCTAGTTATTGAGATTTGCTAGTTTTGAGCTAACATTTTCACCCCAAAACACAAGCCTGGACTTAGAACGGGAGAAGCAAATAAGCAATGCAGGATATTTTTGCAGTTTAACTTTCTATCCAGCAATGAGGATTTCATTTCTGGTTTTCATGTACCAGAAAAAACAATCAGCTTATTGTTTGACTTATAAATATAATCTGAATAAGCCAGTATTAGGCTGACATATAATTCCTAATATTCTAGTCAGAAAACACAATGGTTTGGCAACAAGAGGTCCTGTTTAAAGAAACCGACATCCAGAATGCTAATTCTGAACCCAATAGCGTAAAGCATTATCCATGTGCAAGTAAGACCTCATAGCAAGTTATAGGCAGGGTTCTTCTTCAAGTCTCTTCAGAACACCACTTGGTGGACTTACAAAGGGCAGTTATAAGTGCAAATTGTTGCTGTATATTTGCAATTTGGCATGTGGTTTAGTATGTTTTTCGAATAGTTGGCTTGTGCATTTTCTTGAACTATTAACACATCCTTTGTCAATGTGCATAGTTTCTAATTTGGGCCTGAGTTAGCTATAACCTCGTGTAGTTGTGCTCTTGAACATTACACATTAATTGCTGGTAACAGTACATCAAATGCTCACTATAAATGTGAACTAACCAATTCAGACGAGTGTATGCAGCTGAATTGTTCTCTCTCACTTAATTAAGTTCTCATTTTTGGAAATAAATAAGTCTGTAAATAGATGTAGTGTCGAAATTGCTTCACTTGTTTCGCTAGCCACCCTGCTTTCTTAGCTGCTTTAGTATGTCTATAATTAATGCTTAATCTGTAATTTTTCTTAACTCAGATAATAGAATGTAAAAAATTAATTACCTCTAAGTATCTTGGTTATGTGCAGAATGACATCTTGACATAATTGTTCTGAATCTAATGCTTGAAAGGTTCATTTTATTTGCAGCTTTGCTAGAGCCCCAGATGCTGCTCGAACAGATTGGTCTTCATTCACTAAAGGCTACTTTCTAAATAGAGAGACTCTGGTTGCTACGCTACTTCTTATTGATGCAAGTGTCCCACCTCAGAGGATTGACCTGGACTGTGCTAACTGGCTTGGACGCAACAATGTGAGGATGTCCTTATAACACTCTTGAATTCTCCTGTTTAGTGGCACACAGCTTTAAATTTAGCTGTTTCTCACTCTTTTTTAATTCTTGTTTTTTTGTCCTTGCTGCTATCAGATACCAATGACTTTTGTCTTCACAAAGTGTGACAAAATGAAGGCAAGCAAAGGAAAAAGGCCTGATGAGAACATCAGGGACTTTCAAGAACTGATTAGAGAAAACTATCGACAACACCCCCCATGGATAATGACTAGCAGTGTCACTGGTCTGGGCAGAGATGAGCTTCTCCTACATATGTCACAGCTAAGAAACTATTGGGATCAATAGGGGTGGAACTGATACTTGCTAACAAATTCATGTGTAAGTTCAGTCTTAAAAGTTAAAAAGTGTATACAATAGACAACTATACTAGCTGCCCATAGATTTTTTTTCTCTTGCATCATTTCGATTTTCCCAAAGCAATCCTGCTTAAAGTTGACAGGCTTTGTAATTTGCATACCATGCAATGATGTAGCATTTTTTCATGTATATATCGAAGGCTGTTTATCTTTCTCTGTTATTCTTCATTTTCTATTTCAGAACTTAAATTTCATGCAGCCCTTCTTACGATATAATGGCCATGATTGGTAACAAGGAAGAAAAAATAAGGATGAAATATCTTTATATTCGATTGGCAAACGTATGATATAAGCAAGCAGGAAATGTAGACTAACCACCGGAGAAGACAAAAGACGCTCCTTCCAATCAAACGCAGAGTATAAAGTAATTCAATCACTCATCCAAAGCAGCATCGTTTCCTGGCACTAATCTTTCCTATTCTTGACTGAGTATTATTTTAAAGAACAACAGGGAGCAGTCCCTCCAGTCCAAGTCTTCATTTTTTTTTTTTTTGAAGGAAAGTCTTCATCTTTATCTTGGTCTTTGTATGAATTGGCAACTACTTTCAATAGATTGGTGTTCACCGACATACTAATCTTTCAGAAAACCTTGGTTTTTATCCTCCAAAACATCATCTCATATTTTTTTATTTTAATAAAGTGTCGGCAAAGCAAAGTGTTAGTATTTTTGTCAACTTACTAATATGGTAAAAATAAAAAAATAATTTTATCTTTAATTAATTTTTATAATTATTATTCTATAATTTTATTAATAAAAAACAAAACTCCCCATCTCGGTGCTTTCCTCCTTGAGAATATCAACCGGTGCTCCCTTTCTTAGTGAGTTGGGTATTTATTTTTATTTTTAAAAAATATAATAATAATTTTTTAAATTAATAAAAAAATATTTTAATTTTTTTATAATTTTAGTCTTAAGGTGGAATATTTATTTTAAAAATTAATAAATTTTATGTAATATCGATTAAAACTTGAAAGTATTTTAACTTTTAATCAAACAACCCAACTTCTTTTTTTTTTCCTTGAAACGATGAAGGTGACTGAAAAGAAGGAAAAAAAAGGTGATGAACTCCTAGGTCTTCGTCCCAAAACTGGATAATTTAGTAACAGAACCAATGGAATGAATTCTTACTTAGTTGTCGGACCAATCGTCTGAGAACTAAATCTTTCAATCTTCCACGAATATATATAAGGAACATGACAAGAATCAACACTCTTAAACTCTCGACTAATAACATAACATGGAGTCCCCAATGAGAGAGTTGTGTTGAAATATAAAACTTCTTTCTTGTAAGAGGAAGAAAAGAGACAGTGGAACGCACAATTTTCCCTTCCACAAGAAGACCCAGTCATCCAGTCTCCAGCACAGCTGGCTACCAAACTTGTGCTTGTGCATGCCGTTTTCTAGGGTTCTATATGAAATAAAAGAGGAAATAAACTTTTTTGGGTATTTGAATGGGAAAATTATTAAAAAAATTAAGCAAATAAAATGAATAAATATTTAATCCCAAATCTTTAGAACAATTCAAAAAAAAAATCTACTTCTTAAACAAATAAGGACATGTTGGAAATGTGATCTCTACTACCATAAATAAATGAAACCTAATTAAAATTTTTTTCGTTTATATTTTATTTTATTTATTATTTTCTCTCGTTAGTTTTCTTTTCTTCAACTACCCATTACTCTCTTTTATGCTAAAATCTCTAAAACGGGATACTCACTCATTTTATATAAGAGCTGTACCTCAAGAACATAAATTAGGTTGAGCATTATTTGGTTTAAATTTAGCACATTTATCTTAATTAAGCCCTAAGTTTAAATCAAGATCTCTTAATTTAATTGGTTGAACTTCCTTATATGCACCTCACAAAAAAAAAAAAAACCTCAAATAATTAAAAGCTAAAACTTCATTAATCCCAAAAGATGTAATTTTGAAAAAATTTTAGATAACCTGTTTGAGATTACATATTTTTTTTTCTTTTCCGGATGGTATTGTTTCTTGTTTAGTTATAGACAGTGTAAACATATCATGACCTAGAATGATGTAATAAGTCCTTTTGATCTTTTCCCTTATATCAAAAAAATTTAGATGCATAAACCTGGAAATTACTACCCTTGTACATGATTTGGGGGCAAAATTACCGCCGCTTGAATTTATGAATTCTAATACCTTTAAAAAAAATTAAATGATGGATAAAATTTACCATTTATCTTTGAACCGATATAATTTTATCACTATATTTTTAATTTGATTCAAAAATAATTAAGAGTTAGAATACTCAATAAAATCTTCTTTTAATGTTAACTGTTATTGTACCAAATTAAAATGAATAACGATAAAACTACACCCATTCAAAGATGAATAATAGATTTAAATCTTATCGCAAAATTTTATTTAATTAAGTAACTCATGAGGTACTTTATAGTTCATTAATGTATATATATGTATATATGGATGTTGATTGTCACGTACAATTTTATTACTCTACCTGTAGTCTACCATTGTCCTAGCTAATTGGTAATTTACCTCATAATTAGGGAACTATACAATAATGTTAGGCATTCAATTAATTAAATTAATGGATTTAACTGTGTAAGTACAAGTGGTAAGGTTTTTGAGTTGATTCCATGTTTTGGGACATTGTCGAGAGTTTTGGTTTGATTCAATCCAGGGTTAATCTTCCCCCTAATTGTTCATTGGAATGCTTGAGCACCACCTTTTTTCTTCAGGTACGTATATAATTTGAGTATATCAATTTATCATCCTACCTTAACATATATCGGATTCCTCTTTCTTGCATAATGAGCTATTATCAACTCATTATCTACATTAATACACCAATATAGCTGATGTGGTTTTAAAGGAACTCATTTTTGGTAGAGGACAATCCAAAGCTTCTCGATCTAACATTGATCTTTCCCCTATTTTCCAATCCTCTTCCACAAGGGACATATTACTCTAATTTTGTATCTCCAGCCTTGTCTTTATCTCTCTGGCCCCTCAACTTTGTCACCCTTAATTACTCAGTGACAATACTATACCTTACCTCTTAACACAAGTAGCTAGTAGCCCTAACCAACAATCTACTTTCAAACAAACTAGGAAAAAGCAGAGAAATATTGAAGAGAGTAGGAGGGGTGGGGAAGAAGTTATACTAGTCTTGGGAGAATAGGGAAGGAGGATATTGAAGCCAATTTCTGATAATAAGTTGTACATTATATAAGTAGCTTTATTCATGGCTACACCTGGAATTAGTACATTGTAATGAACAAGATGAAGCTAGACTTCAATCATTAGTTCTACCATAATGTAGTACTACTACAACAAACGAATGTAGTTTTAATCTTACATACATTCTCTTTGAGCTCAAGCAAGAATGAAAAGTGAACTAACTTGGAAATTGGCCTTAATAATCTTCAGGATATATATATATATATATATATAATATATATATATATAGTACGTTGATACTTGATATCTTTAAGGAACAGTACTTTGCTCCAAGCTGGACAAAGTTCCAGGACTGAGAATTGGGAAAGCACACCAATTATAAGAAGATGGTGACAAGTTCAATCCAAGTGATGAATTCGATGTAATCATCGCATTATCTGAGAATTTCTGGTTCTGGGTTTTAGCACTATGATCCAATCCAGAAAGGAGATGCAATTGTGCGGAGACTTCTGCCCTAGACAATGGCGATGCTGCAACGCTAAGAGGGGGAGGCGCCACTCGTTGAAGACGCTGGTGATGAGGCAGTTCAAGCTGAGACGACGACTGAGATTGAGACATGAACTCAGGTGCACCGGTAAGCTTCTGAACCAAGTCCCTGAAGTTATAGGGTCGACCTTGTAAACTCTTGGTGGTGTTGGTGGCAATGGCGCGATTGGCTTCTTCCAGGGCTTTGCCAATGGCTTACGCACTGAATGAAGTGATGCATGGAAAGGCTGTGCAACTTTTAACCCTCTTGCTCCTTGTAAAGTCGAAGAAGAAGAAGAAGAATAGGATGAATAAGCTTCCATAGTGACAGGCGGTATAGAAAATGTATGGAGTACGTGCAAGGCTTTTTAAAAAAACCTGGACCTGAAGTTTTAGAATGTGGAGACTCTGTTATATATAGAAAAACAACATGAGCAAAGATCGCACGTATGGGGACAAGAAAATTATTGATGGAAAAAAGACGAAAAGGGAAGCGACGGTGGGATGAATCCGCTGAGTGCTGATAAACACAAATTCAAACCGTCTTTTGTCAGCAGCGCAGCCGGCTTGGTTCTGAGTGCTTTCAATTACATAGGCAGCGGCCTGGTCAAAGTGCCTGAAATGTTGACCAAATTTCCATTCATAAAAAAAGGTTCAAAAAAAAGAGTTTCCTCCATAATTTTCTTTGATTTTCTTTTCCGGGCCCATTCGTGCGTTCAACAGTGTTTCTTCCTTGAGAAAGGATGATAAGGTTTGAACCTGTTATAACAAACAAAACCAAAACAATAAGAGATAGAAAAAAAGGTATTATAAAATTTCTAAATTAGTGATAACTTGTGAGAGTGATGGCCAGCCATGAGAGGAAAACGAAGCAATTATTTGGAGAAGGTATTATCTCGTGCGGGTAGACCAGCCGCCTCTTGTTAGACCAATCTCTCTCTACTCTCACTAACCTCTGAATATATCACACGTGACCACTTCCGTCACCCCCCCTTCTCTCTCTTAGCTATCTTTGACCCAAAAATAAACAATGGCAATAGCTAAGATCTCTGCCATGGTGCCCTCATTTTTTAACTAATATTCATTCATAACTTTAGCTCCATTTTCCTTTAAGAATCCCAAATAATCTTCACTTTTACCTTTATTAGACATATATTATACAAGCTCTCTTTGGAAACGAAGCTGCTTCTTAATGATTTCTTTCCCTTTTAACACTTCTTTTCATCATAAAATATATATATTTATTATTAAATCAAATATTTAAATACTCCATCCGTTTTAACATTTTGAATTAAAAATTTCACATGTAACATTTCTTTATTGTTTAAGAATGCAATGGATGAGATGGAAAGCTTTGCTGGTTATAATTTTATACTCAAATATCAACAAGTTCTGTGTAAATTAAATTAAAACAAAAAGTATGTTCCTGACGTCTTAGTTTAGTGACAACCTACTTATATCATCAGTATTCGATGAATACTTTCTTGTCTTTTTGTTCAAATACATCTGATTGCTCGTTCTATCTTATGAAAAACACTATTTTTAGTTTACCGACTAATGGATTGATGGTAACATCTTCTCATGCCTCTCTATCAATGACGTAAGAAGAATTTTTAAATGGGTGATACAAAATTTCAAACATGATTTAATAATATGATTCAAATCTGCAAGTTTACCAGAAATTCAAATGGAAGAAACTTGAATTCAACATGGAAAATTACATGGCATGGCTCATCTTAAAACCAAATAGATTTCATACAAGCTAGTTTGGATTAAATGAAAACAAAAATGCAGTTATTGTTATGACGAATTCAGGTTTTAATATGTTTAACTCACCCTATATATGGAGGCCTGAATCTTCTAGTATATTGCCTAGCTACTTGCTAAAGAAATTTAAATTTGTAATTGATCTTGACTCAAATTCAAAAAGCTCAATAAGTTTATGGCTCATGGGTATCCATCCATCTTTAAGCTGGTAGCAGCCTATAGCTAGAACCCAAAAGCCCAATTGATTTTTGCAATTAATGTTGAAGCTGTCTAGATACAAGACTATACATACATACATATATATATATATGTGTGTGTGAGAGAGAGAGACTAGCTAGCCATATGAATAATATTTCAGATATTTGAATGAATTTATATTTTTGAAATTTTGTACCAAAATAATATGCTTTTAAGCCACCTGGCTAAATTAGGAATTGTAGGGGATACATAATTGAAGAAGAAGAAACTCAATTAGTTAAGGTGACTCCGTACTTACTGGCTAGAAATAAAAAGATGACTTGTACTTTCACAGCAATAGATAAAAGGTCTACACTGCAAAGAAACAGTTAAAACTAAAATTGAAAAAACCATTGGCAGCACAGTATCCCCGACTGACCCTTTGAATTTCTCTAAGTGGGCATATAATTTCCCTTGAAATTAACAATGTACTGCAAAATTCCTCTCACAAACTAGTTTTTTAACTTTCGGATTAGATTCTTGTGAGATCTAGGAAAACGGGTTTTTCTTTTGCTTTCTCATAAGCACTGACGTCAAAGCCACTGACTCTTATCATTTATATATAATAATTATTCCTACATTAGAGAAAATCTCGTCCCTTCATTATTGAGTAATTCTTTGTTTGATAACAAAGGAGGGAGGGCAGTCAACATAATTACTAGCTTATGGGCCTTATTGCCAGAAGAAAGTTGTTCAATTTACCAGACAAATGAATGGAAATTTTCTTCGGTATTAAACTCAATTAATTTACATTAATGATGGGCGGATGAAGATTATATGAGGTCCAGTGACATTACCTAATCCAAGAAATAATGGAGGCGATCAGTTAGGCGGTAGCCATGATCATGTTTATCAGTCATGGTATAAGCAATCATGAATTAATGTATTCCATCTGCTAGACCTGCAATAAATACACTCATGACATCATATGATCAAACATGTGTTTACAATGACAATGAGATGCTATCCCATCTACCTATGATATAATCTTCCATTAATTAGTTTTATGAGCTATGTCATGCTTTTGTTTTATTCTTATTTCGTTTTATTTATATGAAAGTAAAAAGTAAACAAAAAATAAAGGCGTTTATATACAAGAATAAGTAATATTTTTAAATAAGTGACAATTACGGATAAATCATTGTGATATTATTATAAAACACTTTATTTTAGTTGTGTAGAGAGTCATTATATTTGAAAGTATGTCACGTTTCATGTTATAATATGCTTATTAATTGTATGATCATATTGTACCGAATAAAAAAATGTATATTTCAAGCAAGTTCCTAACGGGCCCTTCAATCCCATTTCCTCCTGCCCCATGTAACATTCATTAAATATTTTTGTTCTAGTCTGCAAGCTACTTTCCGAGGGATGGTAGCCACGGCCACCGAGCCAATCATGGGAACACGTGAGTCAAACTAGGGGGGGAAGCTCCTCCCATTTCTCGTGAACCAATCACGGGTGCTGTATATATAAACTCGACGTTACTAACCCCTTTTGTGTATTATTATTATTATTATTACTCTTAAATTTACATTGTGTTAAGGGAAGTATATTGAATGAAATTCTAGTTTAGCAGAAGCATATGCTATGATTCCACTTTGACCAAAGTATTTCACGGGTAGCTGTCGGAGTATATGTTGTGTTCGCTCTGTAATCGTTGTCAAGCAAGAATTCAAGGTACTGACGAGTCAGTTTTGGATGAAACTGAAGAACTTTCTCATGACGGAAATGCTCGTAAGGGGCTGCTACGAGGCAGGACGGTGCCCGAAATATTTTACGGAGTCAAGCCTTCATTCTTCAACCAAGAGAGAGCCGAGCGACAATTTAATGCAAATCTCACACTGCAATTCTAACCGATCACAAAGCAATGCGTCATTGGTTATTCCATAATTCAATTGTAATATTTGAAAATTTTTATACTTAAATTTTGAAATATATATTTTTATATATGAAATAATTATTATCGATAAAATTTACATATATAAGTTTTATTTATTGATGATTATGACATGAAATATATATTTTAATTAGGTAAATATACACATAACTTTAAAATACATGTCTCATGTCGTAATCATTATTAATTAAATTGATAATAAATTTTATTTATTAAATTAAGCATATGTGTGTATATATATATATATATATAAATAACATGTAAATTTTAAAAAGTGATGTAAAATGGATAATGATTGAAACATGTAACTGTTGTTTAAGAATAAAACTTTTTTAATATTTTCATTTAAAAAGAATGTAATATTGGTTTTAAGTATAAGCTCAAATTTAAATATTTAATTTAAGCGTTCAGCTTGGATCACTTTCATCAAACTTCAGGTGAGCAAACTGAAAATCATGATGATATTTTTTTTAGTATTTTTGAAAGGCATGAAGATGGTCTTTAGACATGATAGAAGGGGTGAAAACCACCCTTGATCTAAAATGTGAACGCGGTATGCTGTCTGATTACTTGATTCGGAAGTTTTCTGCACTCGTGCAGCGACCGAATCTGGTGCAAAAACAAAGCAAAGTATAAATTGGCTTATAATTCTTCAAAGATATGCAAAGCCATTTTGATGAAACTATGAAGTTATGGTGTTGGCTTTTGAAATTTTTACAAAGCTAGCTGTGCAAAGATCATTTAATGGAGTCCACTACAAACAAAGTGTGAACATGATCTCTTCAAAAGTGGGCCTTCATGAATCAGCATTGTTACCGGAAAAGAGTGCAGGGTTTCAGATATTCAATGATCACGCAAAAATTTCAAGTCTTCAGCATTACTCAATTGTTTCAATAATGTTTTTTTCCTAGAGTAGCAACAAATGCTCTGTTTTTTTGTTTGGAAAATCCCAGTTTTTCAGTTACAAATTCTATCCCTCTTTTCCCCCCTTGTAGCCTTTCTCTTTTTCTGAATCCACTTGAGACTCTACAAAGCTTTCAAATATGGTGTTTTAAGCTTTGAATTTTGGTAAAAGAATTGGGTCAGGAGCATGCACGTGTGCGCGCATGGTGGCGACTCTGAATACACAGAAAACAGGAAGGAAAGGAAGCCTTTTCCCCGCCATCGAAGTCTCATTCAACTTGATGCAAGAACTTGTCCCCATGCCGTCACTGATTCCCTTAATCAAAAACAGGATAATTATCCCTTTATTCAGTATTAAACAATGACGAAGGGTTTGAAAAATAGCATCCTTTTTTCATTATCAATCATAATCATTTGGTCTTAGAGTGAATGTATCTTCTAATAATGGTGCTGCCAGGACCCCACAAGATTTGACGGTTAACTTAGCCCCACTAATCGTGAGAAAAAGGATAATTATATGCAAGTAAACAAATACAAAAGAGGTCCAGAAAGTAAAAATAAATAAAAACCCTCAAAAATGGATGTAACTGCAAGGTCACTATAATTGCAACAGGAGATTCTGGATGGCTTCTTGTTAAAGTAATGAGCAAGTTTTTTTTCTCATGGGTTTTTTGGGCCTCGACGGCCATTCAAAGATGCCATGCCAAGGGGTCCCTTTAATTCAGAGGTCCCTTTAGAAGGCAAGGAAGTGTTTGGAAGGGGATCTTTCCCTTGCTTTCTTGATGTTGAATCAGACAGAGAGAGAAGGAAATGGTGTACCATAAAATAGCTGTACAAGTCAAAAGTGCCAAAATGCAACTAATGTGTTTTGTCTCCGAAACAGAAAGGCCAGGTAGTCCCCCGCTACAAATTTTTTGAAGATAGTTAAGATGGAAATTATGAAAGACTGAAAAGCTTAAAACCACTGAGTTGACATAGAAATTTCTTCATTCCAGATGAATTTTTCCCTCTTGTTTTCTGCCGTGGCATTGGTAACACTGGCAAGGCTGGCTGCACTCTGTGGTGGAGCAGAGCTTCTACTGATTCCAAATAGGAGTTCCTCGCCAATCTGTGCAGTGAAAGTTCTCAACTTTCTTTTCTTTCTTTTCATTACAACAGTGATTGGAAAAGAGGTGACGATGGGTTCTGTCCTCAACTTCTCCCACAAAGGGATATTTAAAGTACATAATGGACCCAGGTTGGCAAAGTGACCTCCCCCGAAATAGTAGTAGTTCAACGCATGTGTAAAAGCCAAGACCCCCCCTTTATCTTTCTTTTATTGCTGAAATCTTACCCTTGCAACCAGGGCCAGGGATCCATGATTTTGGGGGCTAACAATGAGTTAAATTGATCGATTTGCGAGAGACAACAGAGAACATAATCCTAAATATATGGATAATGCAGAATGGAGAATAAGAACAAATGCAAAAAAGAAATGGTTGATTTTCATTGTGAACATTGAATAGACACTTGAAGTCCAAAGGCATTCCAGTCTCTACAATTGTGGAGCTAAAAGCAAAACTCCCACCAACTTAAAGGGAAAATTGGAAGGCCCCTACCACAGGAACAACTTGGGAGAAAGAAAGGACCAAGGAGCAAAGCGATTCTTTTGTCTATTACAATTGTAATTGCAAGCTCCAAAGACTTGTACAAATTGCACTCCTCTTACACGTATTCCCATCCAACAATATACCCCAACACTAATCCATTGCACATAAAACATTTTTACATCATTTCTCCTTTTGGGGGTTTATTTGACAAGGCATTGGAAAAGAGAACTTGACATAATTCCACTGCAGCAAGAAATGTGTTTTACTTGCCACATTATGAGTGTTCTTTAGTAAGTTGAATCAATTGCTGGAATCGAAGTGCTTAAATATATACAGGAGAGCTAATTCATACCTCAAACCCCCATCTTGTATGATCGTTCATGCTCGGAAGATTTGATGACCCAAATAAGGCAGGCCCTTTAACTCCTTTGCCTCATTGCCAAAAGGCAGTGTGAAAAGATAGCTAGCAAAATTTCCCTCATTGGATTGTCCTTGTGAGCTTGCACTTTGAAATAAAGATGGTGTCTGTATAATTTAGGCTACATAACTTCAGGAGCTCTGCAGACCTTTGTTTCAACACAGGATTGCAACCACTCTGAATCACGAGAAGCAGCTTTGCTGCTAAACCAGCTTCTACAGCAACCGAGGAGCATTCCTCCGGAGCAAGTTTGCATACAGACCACAAAATGGACAATGCATATTGAGTACAGCTTTCTGAAACTCTCATTAACAGCCTCACCATATTGGGAATTGTGTTTGCGCAATCCTTCAATGCTACTTTTCCCTCCGGCAGAGATGATAATGTATCCAATATGAAAAGGGCTAATTCCAAGCAATCAGGTTCCAAAGAAGGCAACAATTCGACCAATTGAGAAACGGCTCCAATACTCACAATCAAGCTCCTAACTTGTTTAAGCAAGCATATAGATCTGAGGAAGCTAAGTCCAGGCAAAATTCCATTCGAGTGCCTCTTGTCCTTCACTAACCGCATTACCCCAACCAACAGACGATGGCTGGAAATGCTCTCCGACCGAAATTCCTTCTCCTCCATCAACTTATCCATCAATCGCGTACAATTGATCTTTGTCTCCACTGACCCTTCATTCAACATATCCACCATCAATGAAATCTTTGTCGGCTGCATCAAATTGGTTTTGGACTCTGAATCAAGCTCCAAATTGACAAGAATCCCAATTGCTTCCGAACCAACCGCATGGGACGTAAATGGGCCTAACAAGGATGAAATTACAGCAACCCCACCTTCATCAACCACCGTCTTCCTAGCCGTAGCATGTGCTGCCACAACCTGTTTCAGCTCCTTCAAGGCTTGAATCCTGGCTTGACCCTTAACCTTCTTCAATGTCTCAAGTAGCTCAGTTACCCTTCCTTGTACATCCTCTGATCTCTTCTTCATAAGCGAATACTTCTGCGAAAACCAAGTATAAATCAAATGATAAAGGGTTCTATTTGGGGTAACAGAATCATCCCAGAGCTCTTGCATTGTAGTGGGACAAGTATAGTGGCCCAAATTGAACCATTTGAGAATGTTGGACCTCTCATACGTTTGGCCAGTGCAAAGGGTAACAGGGTCTTGCATTGGCTCAAGGGAGATTGGACAAATAAACACAGAAGGAATCTCAGGTAAATCAAGCTCTTCAATCATTTTCTTCAGATCCAATTTCTCACCAACACCAGCACCAACGACTCCACCACCACCACCAACACCACCCAGAACCCCATCTTTAACAGCAGTATCCAGATCTAGAACCTGTCCATCACCACTACCATCAAATCCAGAAACAACCCCATCCCTCTTGGAGGGTTGAAACATAGGCATCTTTGAAACCCTCCCTTCACCTTCAAAAAAGAAAAAAGAGAAACACAGATTCTCAAGGAACCAAAAAAGAAAGATTTTTAAAACCCCTCCACCACTCCCCCAAGACACTCTAAATTCACTGCAGTGACAAGCTCCCTTCAAGGCACATTACATCTAGGTTATACGTAAGAGATGTGAAATAAAAAAGAAGGAAAGTTGGTGTTTCTCTACTCAATTCTTCTCTCATTGACAAATCACAAAGCTAGAAAACATACTCTCTTTTTTTCCCTCTTTGTTGTACAAACTCACACATATCTATCTCACTTCCCTGTTCCTTTCCCTTTGCTTTATCCTAATCTCTTTTCTATGGTCAAAAGTCCGTCATTTTACCATCATCATCATAATAATAATGATATCACCAATAAACACACAATAATGAAGCTCCCATCTTTCACTTCTTGTTCAAGCTTCAAAAAAGTGAAAACAAAAAAGGTTTGCTTGGAATCATCAAGCCTTCAAAACAGCTAAAACAACTAGAGAAAAAAAAGGATACTACTAAAGAAAGCAGTCAAAGATCAACAGTGAAAACATAGTACAAAAGCTAATCAATTAGCCCTTTTTTTCCTAACCCAACCAAAAATGGTACAGAATTTGAGAAAATAAAAACTACCCAGATAAGAAAACCATGAAATTTTCAAGATTTAGTGAAGATAATTGAGAGAGAAGAAAAAAAAAAGAGAAGAAAAAATTTATTGTCAAAAGAGGCCATACCACCAGAGAGAGAGAGAAGAGCGGAGAAAAGCCACGTCCTGCAAAGGCTTCCCTGTTGCTCATCTTTTGGGGCAGTTGTTTGTTGGATAAAAATAAAAAATTAAAATTAATAAAAAAACCCCTTCACGGAAAATAATAAAAACTAATTATAATATCGAAGTAGTTATAAATTAATGCATTTGTTCATGTTGTTTTTTCTTCTTTGAATGAATTATTTAATTTTTTTACTGGAGTAACGAATTTTTTGAAAAGTTGAAATTTATCGGGTTACCGGGAACTGCGGGTTGTAGCCGGTAATTAAGCCCCTCGACCCGCGCACCACACGTGCAGTCATATCAGTTCTTTACCGTAATCTCCCGCTATTACTTTTAAGTGCTTTAGTTCAACAATTAAATAAAAGTAATCCCAAAGAGGTATTTTCCATATATGTCCCTCGTAAATTTTATTCCAATTTGAGGTTTTTCTTTTTACTACTATTGGAGAAATTTCTTTTGTTAAGAAACAGGAAAATGAATCCAAATCTTCCCAAATTGTAATTTGATGTTTGTTTTTTAGCTAAACGAATCTCATCTAAGAACTTCATCCACATATGTTATGTGGACACAATCCAATTTCAAAACTAATAATCTAAAGACTTAAAAGATATTTTGAACTAGTAAATCACTAATGATGAGAGTTCAACCTCAATGGAAGAGAGAAATTTCAGTTCAACTCTTTGTCACGGAAATATCAAATTACAATGAATCATTAACCTAAATTAAAATTTTGTGAAGGGTAAAAAAAACTTGGGTGAAAAAGAGAATCAGCTAAAAGGACGAAATAGTCTTTTTCACAATGAAACAAGGGGTACCCGCACGAAGCAAAAAGCTGGTCCAATTTCACTAGAGTCCACCAAACCCCCACGGGCAAATATGAAAAATTTTTTATCAGCCTTTAGTCTTTACTTAAACTTAAATCCACATCTCGATTTAACAAATCGAATATTTCAGTCACTATTTTAGTAAAACCAAAGTTTCTTTTTTCTCTCTCTCTCTCTTTTTAATTCTCATTTACTATTAAAAAAGGCCAAAAAAAAAGGGGAGAACCAATGATACAAATAAAGCCCTCGTCCGGGCCCACTATGGGGAACTTCCCCCTCCTTCACTTTTTTATTTTTTTGTTGTGTTTAGTGTTTATTTTAGGTAAAGTGCCAGCAAAGCATTTGACCGTGACAGTTTCTGCTTTGACTGTACGCCTCTGCCGTTTGGCTTATCCGGTCTTTGCTTTGACCGGCTTTGCCCCACTTCCGCACCCAACCAATCACACCCTGCCACGTGACTCTGGGAACCGTGTCCCCCTGGCTCCCTCCTCTGTTTTCTCTAATTTTTTATTAATTAATAATTAATTGAAATAAACAATGTTCTTCTTTTAATTTTTCCCTCCTTTTTCTTTTTGTTGCAGGTAGCAGTGAGTGTGTATCACATAAGTTGGTATGGTGTAATTAGGGTTGGAAAAATGGGTGGTTAGGGTTTCAAAGAGTTGGATGGGAAATTAGGAACTTTGGGCTCTCAAATTAAATTTTTTTAATTAAATTGAGTTAATGGATTTAGGTTTGAATTGAATCATAAACGGTATTAAAGATTTGAGTAGGTTCCAGACTGGATAAGAGAGGTTGGATTAATTATAGATTAATTGCATCTTAAGGATTGACAGGTAATTTTATTTGGATTCATATGTTTTTTAGGTGATCTATTTAAGATGGGTGGGGTGAGGGTGTCCATTCTAAGATTCATAAAAAAAAAAGAAAAAAGAAATGGGTTTTAAATAAATATCAAAATCTAAGTTTTTTAATAAGTCTAAGAACAACAGGGAATCACATGAGCATATGCTACCCATATAGGGTGTCACATGACCCACAAATATCTGATTTTTCCCAGCAGTGATCAGGTTTTTATATTAGTTTTTTTTTCCTTTTATAAATGTGTGTCAATGCATGAGAAGATCTTAATCATAGCTCAATGGTTTTAAGTTAATGATGATTTTAAATTAATTTAGGTTAGTGATTTAAAATGTTGAAGAAACGTCGCCTCATTGTTGTTACCCACTTGATTTAACAAAATATCATAGTCTAAGGTTTAACTGATTTTATCATGTTTGTCATAAAAAAAAAAGAATGGATAACTAAAGTAATCAATTTCAATTTAACTAATCCAACTATAGTTGATGCTAGCTATAAACAAAACTAGGTAAAGCGAAAAGTGTAACTTAATTTAATTTAAACATACTCAAAATTTCTACTTAGAAAAGATGTAGGAACTTCTTTGATCAATTTGAACTTCACATGAAAAGTCAGACCACATTCAATTGTAAATTAAATATTATTTATAAATATCTTTCATAAGGATTTTGTTAACCAAATGCCTTTAACACTTGTTAAAGTTGGTTAAGATATTATTTATAATAATAATCTTAAAATAAGCATTGTAGAAAATTAATATGATAAAATTCAATGTATGAAGAGAAATATATTATAACGATATATAGTCCAGAATTTGAATCCTTCCTCATCTACTTGCAATAAAAAATATTGCTATCTAGTATATATATATATATTATATTGTAATTGCTTGTCATAAGTTTTTTCTTTCTTGAAATAGAGATTTAGTTATATATCTTGCTTCAAATTTATTACGAAAGACAAAAATAACTTAAAATCAAGTGACAAAAGGAGCGTGATTGTTAAAAAAATAAATAAATTCGAATTATAATATTTTTCATGGTGCCAAAAAATTAATTATCATAATCGGGAATAACAATTAGTAGTAACAAATAGGAAACATACATACAAAAGCGAGAGCAGCCCATGGAATAATGGAATATGCCCATCAACATCCTTGAATCCAAGCCCGAGTACTAACTCTTTCCATATCATCAACACCGGTCCAATATTTACTTTTGGGCTGTTTGATTGCGGATTAGTTTGCAAATGGAGCCTGGTAGGTATTAGTAGTAATTTTGAAGTGTCCATGGATCAAGGAGGTGCTCAAAAAAGTGCTTTTCAATAAAAAGAAATATTAATGAAATGTAATTCTTAGGAAAAAGTTTGAATATTTAGTTTAATGATAAGTATAAGTATCTTTTTATTCAACGAATTTTTAAAATATATTTGATTTCTTTGTTTATTTGAGAGAAGTGGAGATTTAAATTTAATTTTTTTAAATAATATATATATATATATATTTATTTATTAAGCTAAATATTCAAGTACAAACTTAGCTGAATTCTAAATGTAATATTATTCAAAGGTATTATAGTTAGGATACTATTTAACTAAGATAAATATGAGTATACATTGAAGGGGAAAGTTTCAAGCTAATAAATATAGGAGGTGATAAACCCATGAACTTATAACCAACCTGTAATATGGCTCTTGAACTGAAATTTTGTTTAATTACCTTACGTTGTAAACAACAATGATGATATCTGTCTAGCTATAAAACACATAATTGCAATGCTAGATTGGAAAGTGTTCTAGTTGAAATTTAGACACAAGTGTTTTAGTTGGCACATGCAGAGCATGTGTTTAGTTTTTAGTTTCTAGTTTCAGACAGGCACGCAGTTTCCTCGCCAAATAGATTTCTTTGACACACCTAAAGCATGCATTCCAATTCAATTAACGTGAAGCTATTTTGTCGGCTGCAGCGATGGTCTATGATGTCCTATGGTTGGCAAACTCCCCTACCAAGCCAACAAAACAAAGTTTTACTAATGGATAATACGATAAAGGATATAATGACGGCTTAGAACTATAAATGATTTTTAGTTGCATCAGCAAGCACCCATGGCCTAATGGATAAGGCGCCTGACTTCTAATCAGGCGATTGTGGGTTCGAGTCCCACTGGGTGTGCATGCTTTGGTCTCTGATCCCACACCCATTGTAAGTCTTTTTTTTTTTTTTGAGCTTAATTGCACTTATCCTATAATCATCGAGTAGACAGACTGCCCCAGCCAAAAACAATAACATCTCTGATCCCGCATCCATTGGAAAGTCCTGCTTGGGACAGGCCGGGGAATCAGCACCCTGTTCTTACTCTATACATTGACTTTCACGAGTCAAGTCCAGACACTGACAATGCATGGGAACAGGCTGGGATTAATCACCATCAGTTCACATTCTAGCCATGACTATGAACCCAATGTATGTAGGCTGTAGCTAACAAATTTTCAGGCGATAGACTTGTTTAAGATATCATCTTCTGTCAATGTACAGCTTTCCTTTTTGAACATGATGGCAGTCAGAGCCAGTAAACCATTTTGTACAAAATGGCCTGTAGAATGGGGATTAAATCAATGAAACCAAAGTTGACAGAAATCCGGGTTTGCAGCAGGCCTATCACCACAAGAAAAGGTTATCCACAAATGTCAGGCTTTTGATTTGAGGGTAAGAGCTGATCCTTAGCAGTTGAACTACTACAAGTTTTCAATTCCAGTCAATTTTCATGGAGCTTCTTATTTTTAATTAATAAACCTTCCTGCTTCAAACAAGCTACTAATCATAACAAGAATTAATTGAACAAAATCTTTAGTGTTCAGTTGAATTCCAAAGCCATAATGTTCAGAATTAATTATCAAAACCAGTCAGGGCTTTGCAAATTGGTAAACAGCCCTGACCCTTCTGTACTCTATGAAGTTAGTCCCATTTGGAGGTTTGAAGTTTGCTACACTGCCTCACTGCTCCCTTAAATTGATAATATTAGGGATGCAAAGCCACCTAATTAGCATTACTAATAACAAAGTCAACTCTCTTTGTTCGACAGAATCCATGAAGTTGGTTAATTAAAGTGATTCAAGTGGATCATATAATTAGAAATTGATTTGAAAAATTCTTTTGGTGTCGTTTGACATGGTAGACAATTAATTAAAAAAAATCTAAATTACATTAAAAAAATGTTAATTCATGTTCAGGTGGCTAATGAACAAATTGATGAATTTGAATCAATGTTTCAAAAGCTCAGTAATTTTATTCATCAAAAAATAAGATTATGTTCCCTAAGAAGTAAGAAAAGAAAAACAAACATTCTAAATTGATACAAGTTAAAGCAATGGGGCATGCCATAATTATCTAGTACAAGTTACTTAATGATTCTTATCCATATAGTGACACAAATTCACTTGGTAATATATTCATTTAAACTATCAAGTTTGAATGTTCTAAAATATTTCTTTAACGAAATTGCATATGATAATGTAACTTTATACAACAGAAAATCTGAAATATCGAATTCAAAGTCAAGCAAAATGATGAGATAGATCATCTAATTTTGGCATGCATTTCTTAACCATATAAAGTTGAAGTCATAGTAAGAAGATGTATTCAAGCTTCATTTCATCTCTTTAGAGTTTTAGGCCTCCACCAAAAAAAGTCAAAGTTACAATGCCAACTCGGTCAGCAAGCCTTGTATAGGATGACTCATTTCTCAAATCTTATATTACTAATTTTCATCCCCTTAAAAGTTGACTTTGTTTTTTTTTTGTTTTGTGCCTTGTTATACCATAGATATCAGATTTCATTAGTTGATTATATTTATAAGATATGCATATAAATTGTATAAATATTCAACTGAGATATCTTATATGATTTGAATCCGTAAACAAAGACATAAAAAAAAATATCATACAATTTTAAAAGGAAAGATTTAATATTTTACATTTGGTTGATTCAAGATGTCATTTTAAAGATTAAATATTACAGTGATAATTGTGTGTTTGCTTATCTGATTTTCATTATATTCTAAAGTTTAATAAAATATATAAAATGATTACGCTTCTCAAAACCCATTTTTGCTTTGAAACTTTGACTCAAAATTATACATTCATGAACTTTTTGCTCTTTAAGAAAAAAAATAAAATAATGATAAGTGCAAAGTAATTAACTAATTTTCAATTCATATAATTAATAATGTCATTCACATCTAGTTAGGTTGCACGCGTGGGACCTCCTTAACTAGAACGAGATTAGCTTATTTTTTTTAATTATTGTTGTGAGTAGCTTCACTTTGATCAATCGTATTATAATAAAAGTTTCTAGCAAAAATAAATAAGAAAAAAGATTATCATAAAATGAACAAGCTAGTCTGCTAATGTGGGATTGACTTGATATAAGCAGACAATAATTATTAGTATTTGGTTATTGAAATAATTAATTAATTAACTTGAGCAAGGTACATGTTAGCAGACCAAGATAATAAGAACCTTGATTTTTTTTTTTTGGGTCAGATCATGGGAAATTGTTGTACATCATATTAATATTCTTTTCGAAATCTTGCAATCTCTTTCAGAATCTTATAAAGAATATGTTTTTCCCTTTGTTTTTTTCTCCTAATCAGCCTATGGAAATTGAAGGTCATTTTCATGTGATTAAAAACAAAACATCTTTATACTAAATGTGGATCAATTCTAGGAAATTATAAAATACAAGTAATAAAATAGGGCATGGACGTAAGCATAACATTTCTCATTATTGGTAGAATATGTAGTTTATTGGTGCGTGGTTCAAGTGGTAAATTAATTAATTGTTTTACATATCTGTTGAATACTAAATTAATTGCTTGAAATTTAAATATTCTCATCCCAATACGCATGATACTAAAAGAAAGAGAACTAAGTAAAAATTAAATAAAAACAATATATATTATTTTTTTCTTTTGATTCCTTGTATAAGCAAGAATTGAATCTAATGAAGTCATAGAAAAAGTAACTTGGGTAAGTGTTTTTTTTATTTATATTTGATCCATTGTAAGTGTATATATCGTATTTAAAAAATATATTAAAAATTATGAATATTTATTTTTTCAGACTTCTCAACTTTTAAATTTATTTATTAATGAGATGACAATATTTATTTCATTAATAGCGTATAAAATCTATACATTAATAATATATCAGATATCCTAATGTTCTTCTTAATAATTAGGGTGACAACTTTAATGGCAATAATAATTTCTTTTGTTGCTTAAAAATTAAAACATTCTTTGGATATACACCATCATTATTGCAATAGGTTGTAAATGTTAAATTTGTGCAAATTATAGCAAGTTAAAATGAATTTAAAAACCAAAAAAAAAATTAAAAACAAAACCATAGTAAATAATGTTTGAATCTATCAAGCTAGCTAGCTCATTCCTTGACCAGTTAAGCTTCAGAGTGTTGATCACTGACTAAAACTATATAATATTTCTTTATTTTTAGCGTGTTGGTTTAAAGTAGAATTCAATATTATTTCATAGTGGCGTTGACAACTCACCCAATCTAATTAAAATGGACAAAATTTGAGTACAAGAAAGGGAGAGATAATTATTCAATATTGAAATGAATTATTGACTTAAGTCCTTGTTTTTAAAGTTTTGAACCGGACGACTCTTTCAATTTTTCAGCTAATAATTTTATCTCAGTTAAAAAAAAAAAAGGGGAAGTAGTGTAGCAGATTGGATTTTATCTTATGTCTTGTTCTACCTTGTTTGAATTGTGAAACATACCTTCGGCATTGCCTTGACAAAGTCCATAAAATGCATACAATATTTCATCCCCTGAACTGTTCGTTGGAAGCTCCCAAGTAATCCTTTTTATATGCAAGGAACAGCCAAATCGCTTTCATGCAATTTTTAAAGGATTGGCCCTCCTCTGCAATTATAGTGCTCTAGCCCCTTCTTTATAATCCATCTTAATCGACCCTCTTTTAATCGTCAAAAGTATAGCTTCCAAACAATCTAATTCTGCTACTACTACTCTCCGTCTGAGGATCTTTAACGCTATTGTTTCTTAGCCTTTTCTGTTGTTTTCTTGATTTGCCCAAAGCAGCAACATGAGCAAGAAAGCCAGCAAAGAAAGCAAACTAAGCAGATATCTGAAGGCACCCCTCAGGATTCTGATCAAGGCCAGGGATTTCTACATAAAAAGCATGACAGAGTACTCGGACAGGATCAATTATGGCACCGTCATGGGTTGCCCTACAGGCCAAGTCAATACTCTGCCTAGGAGCTATAGCGTCAGCTCGGCGAAATCGAGCAACGGTGACAATGACTTGAGGGAGCTTATCAAGGCTGCTTCCACAAGGAGTTTGGGCAACAAGGTTCAGTTGGACCTACTTCGGAGACAAGAGGCAAGGCAGTCTCCGGTAACTGGAGCAAACAATGTGCCTAGAAGTCGCAGTGTTGGGATTGGGAGGATTGATGAAGACAAGCCTTGTGACTTTGAAGAGGATATCAAGGTCAAGACTGATGCTTTCCCAAGGAGCAGGAGTTACGCTGTTACAAAGAGAAACGGTGCTTTTTTCTAAATGAAATTTGTAGGGAATCTGCAGAAGGGATATCCCATGTTTCTTTATTTTTTGTCGATCCTTACCATAGCACATCTGGTTTTGGCTGGTGTTTGTGTTTGAGACTTTACATGTTATGTACTGTATTAATTGTTGATAGAGCTAGAGGTTGTTCATATACTTGATTAATGATGTTTGGAGTGAAGGATAGCGTGCCAGAAAATCCAATGTCTTTCTTAACATGATTTTCAAGAAATGTGTATGTTTCAATCTTGTTCTGTTCTTTCATGGGTAAATCGGGATTTTGAAGCTTTTGATTGGGATTTGGAGTTGAAGGTTCTTGCCTCCGACTTTCCCTTAAACTTCAACTCAAATTCCGATTTTCATGCTGCCAAGCAGGTAAGGGAATCTCTCCCTTCTGGGAGCATTTTATCTCTAATCAAATTAAACGAGATACTTATCGTGAAGCCCCATAATGGAACTATAGAGTTAAAACAAGATTCGCTCTATTCTTTTTCTTTCTTAATATTCTCCAAGCAAAAGATGGCACTATTAGATGCAATGCGGCCTGCGATTTACCTTTGACTAAAACTTTCCCTTGTCCATAGGAAAAAAGCTAGGCAGCGTTGTGCCGTGACTAGATGAGATAAGCCAGGGAGACGCTAACGAGAAGCTATATTAATTTCTGCCTTCTTTGCCGGGGCAAGCAAACAGTGTTCAAATTCAAAGCAGGCCACAAGCCTGACGTGATTTCCCATCACATAACTAAGCTAGAAATAGTCACAACCGTCCAATAATGTCCCCCCTCTTCACAAAAAAGTAGGTGAAAAGAAAAAAAAGAAATGCAAGCTCCAACCTTGAGAAAAGCGTATTCATGAATTGGACCAAGAGAGAAGATGGTGTGAACAAGGAAAATCAATGTCCAATGGGGTGTCTTTACATCTGGTTGGTAGGGCATCGTTCTTACAATTATTTCCATGTTGGGCATTGTCAATTTGCCGATTATATGGTGCCTCAATCCTTTTTTAGATTTGATGTACCTATTCATGGATTACACCTCAAAAGCTAGATTGAAGAATATTTATATCATTGAGTGATTATGGTGTTTAAGCCATAATGGTGTGAAAACAATTAGTAATTCTAGTAGAACAACAGCATAGTCCATATTTCTATCTTTTCAGATAAGATAGGCCTTGGCCTATTTGTTTGGAATCCCTCTCTATCTGATAACAAACTGGATTCAACACTTCTTAAATGCATTTGGGCTGCAGTTGGGGAAATGAGCTAAACCCCTTGAAGCCGAAAAAGCCGGTGTGGGCAGCAGAAGTAGCACCTCGGACTCAAAATTTCCTGGAAAATGGCCAGATCACATTGAATGCAGTGGAGAATTTAAAATTTTGAATGGAAAGTGATTAAAAGGTGATTATATAAGATTATTGATCAAGTCAGAATAAAAAATTAATTATTTTTTAAATAAAATTAAAATATAACATAAAATTTTATTTACAATTTGAATATAATTTTTCAACTTCATCAATATAAATAGAGATAAAATAAAAAAAATATTAAATGTTCACATTAGGCATTTCTCAACTATTTTTATACTTTTAAATTTATCAATAACTAAATCCGTATCAATGATTATAGTAATCACTTTGTTAATTAATTTAAAAATGTAAGATAAGATTATTGAAAATTTTTAAATATTTTAATTACATTCTTTTTTTGAAAGTTAGATGTATTTCATTCAATAGGGAAATCCTTGAAAATCAAAAGAGTGACTTTTGAGAATTAGCCAGACATCAAGAGTTTGCAAAAAGAGATATTACATTTTTATTTAGTTTTTCATGTCAACATGTGACATATTACACAAGTGCTCAGATCGAATTAACAAATTGTAAAAAAAATCAAAATAAAAAATTATACTATTTAGGCAGTTAAGTAATCCATCTTTTACTTCACAAGACCATAACATATTATATACAATAATACAAAATATTTTAGTAATATTATGTTAAAAAAATAAATAGATTTTAAGAAAAGTACATATTGTATAGATACTTGAATCAATAGATTGTAAGAAAAATCAAAATAAAAAATTATACTCAAGCAATATATCTTTTACTAAGGAAATGTTAAAAAAAAAAAGGGTTTTTAGGAAAAGAACATATTACATAAATGCTCAAACTGAATTAATAGATTGTAAGAAAAATCAAAGTAAAAAATTATACTCATTAAGCAATTAAGCAATGTATCTTTTACTAAGGACAGTCAGTTTTCTCTATACTATAATAAAAAGAGAAAATAATTTCAAAATTTGGGTTTACTCTATAAGGATAAAAGAAAAATAATTTAAAATTTAAAATTGAGCAATGCATAATTTGGGCCTAGAAGGAATTGAATCTAAGTTTTCAAAATTTAATTTAAATGACTTACCATTATACCAAGCCAAGTCATTTGACTTGAATAAAGATGGCAACTTTGTATATTTATAATTTTATACCAATAAAAACAAAAATAAAAAATAAAAACTGCCTCCACCACTGATTCAATGGTCTGCCCTACAAAGTTTGGAATTGGACATAAAGAAATGTTTGGTGAGTAAAGTTGTTATCCCGTAATTTGCCATACGAAAGAGAGTCCTACTTTCTTTTGTTAAAGTAGCCAAAAGCCTGAAGCATTCAGTGGTTTCTAGATCACCTTGCAAGCCTTCAAATTACCTGGATCACATCTTGATTCTCAAGATTTCCTAGCTAGCCATTAGACTTAAAATGAGAACATACAAGCTAAGCAGAAGCTTTAAGTTTCACAAATCAGTTTAGACAAAAGCTTTAGATTACCTTAAAAAGTCATAATTGCATCTTTTTCGTTCTCCCAAACATCTTTTTGGGCCATATTCATCCCCCAAAAAGAAAGAAATTTGAAGTAGCTATCCAGTTAAAAAAAGAGAAAAGAAAAAAGGCTCTTGGACTGTAGGTTTGAGCAGAAAAAATGCCATGGTAGGATAACTGGAGCTTCGTTCCCAAAAAATTCAGCAGCAAGACCCAAAGAGGTAAAGGACAACTGAAACTTGACGTTGCAACCTCTCCCACCGTCATGGGGTGGGGTGTGTAACCATTTGGGCAAAGACTTGTGTTCATATTAACTTTCTCCCATGCCTAGTGGTGAATTACAGGCGAGGGGGAGAGAGAGAATTTGAGGAGAACAACTAGAGTTGAGCCTTCGATGACGCGATCAACAAAATCTGGATGCATTCATTGTTTTCTCAAGGCCTTTGTTAATGTAATTTGGGCCTCCTTCCCCTCCTGGACACATTGTCCCCCTCGAAAGAGGAAGGGGAGAAAAACAGAATAAAGATAGTAATTGGTAATATCTAAATGGCTTCGTTCTATTTAAATAGGATTACAATACATTACAAACGAGCTTGAGTACGGTACAAATGGTTGTTTTGAGATATTCACTAGTCAAAATTTATTATAGATAATGAATTTTTAATATTTATATTATTTTTTAAATGTATATTATTTATAATTGACGTATTATTTTTTTTAATTTATACATTATCTAACTTTAAAATTTATTTTGAATTTATTAATTTAATTTTGATTAATAAAATATATAAAAATGATTAAATTTTATTGTTATTATGAATTTGGAACCAATCAAGTTTTGTAGTGAATACCCAAGTCATTTTTAATTAAATAAATAGATTTAAATTTTAATTAGATTCTAATAAGATATTATTAACTGGATTCATATATGAGGTGAATTTTAAATCTTATAATCAGATTCATGCGTGAATACTTCAATACTTACCAGATGTCATTTATTGAAAAAATACATAGGACTTTAATATAAAGACTTCATCACGTACATGAACGAATACTGTCGGCTAAATTAACTCTTTGGCGGGGTAACAGTACGGATGGCTAAACTGAGCAAGAAATAACATCACCGTCTGAAAGAGGGAAATATACATAGTAATAAATAAAGACACGTGTAAAACAAGTTTAAAGGCTGAATAACGTTGATCGCTTTCTACATTGACACCTTTATCGTTTCTCTTATCTGCACCACCAACCAAATGGAGGGACAAAAAGCATTATTGAGTTACAATTATCACTTTGGTAGTCACATTATGTTACTAACATTTTGTTGAAAGGATTATTAAAGAAGAAACATCATTCCAAGCACCAGAAGCTGAAGTCCCGTATCAGCTATGAAAACCGATGGTCAACTCTTACTTTCTGACTTCAAATCTTTTCGAAAGTCCGAAGCTCCTATTTCAACTCTAGTTAATATGGCGGTAGAAGCTCTTGATCCGAAGCTACCAAGGACGTTTTCAAAATATTTCCATTTGGTATGCTTTTACATCGTCTTCGTTACGATTTGCTCCAGGCCTGCACTTTCCTTTTCAACAATCAAGTCTCTTCCTGGATTTTCTGCTTCACTTCCCTTCAAGCTTGACACTGGGTGAGTTTCTCAAACACTCATGTTAATTTGTTTTTCTTTTACTACTTATACTATGCTTTTCTTCTTTTTGGATTATTAGTGATTGTAGTGTAATAAAGATGTGGAAGGATGTAGGTTTGATCAATTATACTCCCCTAGCATTGGAATACTACTAGTATATATAACGATCATGTAATCACCGGTTAGTTGATGTGTCTCAGATACATAGGGGTGGGAGATGCGGAGTTTTTCTTCCATTTTATTGAATCAGAAAGGAATCCAGCAGAGGATCCTCTCTTGCTGTGGATCTCTGGAGGCCCTGGCTGCTCTTCTCTCTGGGCTCTTATTGGAAATTGGTAGTTTCTGATTGTTTATTTCTGCAATTCCATGTCAAGGAGTTATACATTTGGGTTTTTCAATCTGTCGGACTTACAAACTTACAGGCTCATTTCCACCCCAGTGGAATCTGCACTAAAGTGTAAAATATTATTAACTTGTACCTGGTATCATTTAATCAGGCCCCTTGCAATTTAACATGGTCGAGTACAATGGCAGCTTACCAACGTTTGTTCTGAACCCTTACTCATGGACAAAGGTGAAATCATTTAGTTACGACTATAATAACCCTATGAGCATGTGGTTTATAGCTTCCACTTACTGATATTTGGTTTCTGAACGTTCTTGTTAACGTGCTAGATTGCAAGCATAATCTTCCTAGATGCGC